GATCAAGAGGAAGAGGTAACGGGTCAAAACTTGTAAGCTCGTTTTTGGGGTCTGCGATTGCTTTCTTGAGACGCGCAATCTTCGTAGGCCGATCACCACCACCAAAGCGCACATCTTTTGATATTTTGGCCAGGATGGTGAGTAGCTCACCTTGGCGTTGGAAGGTCTTGCGTATACTGATGCCTTCTGGTGTTTTTTCAAGCTCAACCATAAAGTCATACTCGACTTTTGCGAATAGATCACGGTGTTCAGGTGCTTGATCAGCACTAAGGTCGCTAATCTCAACCATGAGATACCAATGCAAGAAATTGCCCAAAGTGAAGCTGTTAGCAGCACGAGTAACGAGGAAACGTGCAAGTGACGAATCGTCTGCCTCGCCTGGTGCCTCGTACTTGAGCGCTTGTACCAACTGTAAGAGATACAACTGGAGTTCTTCATCGTCGGCTTTCTTCAAACGTTCGACGGCATAGCTTCGAACAATGGGGTGGTCGAAGTGAGGTCCGAGTAATTCAAGAGCGTCATCAACGTCAATCTCAGCCCACTTTTCTAGCAGTGGTGCTGCTTGCCGAACTTCTCGCGGATTCTTCCAATTGATGCATTTGACAAATTTTGTCAAGGCACGCTTGTCGCGGAGTAAGAAATACCTGAATCTCCAGATATCGTCTCGCTCGTGCGACGTGATTTCATCAAGGGGACCCTTGGACAAGACCATGTTCAGTTTATCACGGGCGTGCACGTTTGGTTTTCGATCGCGGTCCAGCGAATCGGTCTGCTGGCTACGCATCAACTCACGGTGTTTGTCTTCGGCGGGATTGACTCTTCGCCCAACCTCGGGGTCATAAATCTTGATAAGCCGCTCTGCGTCCGCATCGCCGTAGCCTACCCCATCAATATCGATACCGGGTCCAAAGGCGACTTCTGGCGGTGGGCGCAGCCTTACGTCGGCTTCGGCTGGCAATCGTAAGTCGGAGACAGGAGGTGGCGGGTATTCAACGTCGGTGAAGACAATGGCGTGGTCAAAGCGGGGAAATTCAATATCGAGATAGAAGAGTTCATGTTCTTCGGCCTGTGCAGCGATGTCGCTAGTGCCATTCACCTTGCTTTGTCGGCTGAGAGCTGCGGCCTCGGCCGTCAGGGCGTCCTTTCGTATTTGCATCATCTTCTTATAGACCAATCCGTCAAGCCAGTTGTTTGTCGGAAGGTCTCCCATTTCCTGCTTCTTGAGCAACCCTTCCAACCTGTCCATCTCGGCAACTTGCTCATCGACTGTGTCCTCAACTACCTCAGCATTCCTCGGTTTCCGCGCGGGTTGTATTACCCAGGGTGTTGAGGTGTTGGCCAGGCCATCGGCTGCCTTGTAGCGGTGTATACGACAGCGTTGCCTGCCCTTATGTAGCGTGTTGTCGCTGTCGAACAGCGGTATCGTCGTGCCACCGAATGGGACGGCATGGAGGTTAGACTGTTTGTCTTCGGCGGGGGATAGATCCCATAGGGTGATGGCTAGCTGGGCAGATGCCGGGAGGCTTGCGTAGGTAACGGGCAGTTGTAGCCACTCATTCCATATGCGCGCATTCTTGAATGACTTGTAGGCGGTCTGGACGGGGACAGTAAGGGGCTTGCTATCGGCCCACACCTGTGCAGTGACATATAGCTCGAAATGCGGGCTGTAGGCATACTGTTAACCCTATGTCCCTATCGGAGCACTGGGCAAGGGCCGACTCACTTGATTATGGAAGCGCGATGCCTAAGGTCGGGTCGCTTCAACAGCACCGAGTAAGGAACCGGCTTCTGGTTCCCATCCAGACGATCACTGCATACACCTTCAGCACGCAGGAAACAGGTACTTCAATACGGCCGTATTCCTACATTCGCACATGGACAGATAGCTCGGTCAAGTCAAGAGACGTCGCGAAGTTGAAGGCCTCCATGGTGGGCGGTGACGAAGCTACTTGCTACAGCATGCCATGGAGAGGAAGCACGGGCTAGATGCAGGCAAAGAAGGATGGAGCGTGTCGTTTGTGTTAGGGACACATGACGAGGCGAGAGGGTGTGAGTGGTGCGAACAGTAGTTCATGCGCACATGGTCGTGGCCCAGTGGGGACAGGCATGAGCATCAGCAAGCATGTGGCTGGTGGTGAGCTTGGTGTGGCTTGAGCAATACCAGCCACGGGGGTGGGGGTGTTTCTGTGGCGGTGCATGCAGGCTTGGCTGACGAATGCAGATGCGCTTAGGTCAGACAAAAGTCGCGCTAGGCTTGTGGGCCTCAACCGCGTCAGGAACAGGCACAGGCACAGGCGCAAGAGCAGCATAGGGCTGATAATCACCATCTCCGCCTCAACACTACGCCCGTACCCCGCGATAGCCGTGTCGCCTCCTCGCTGTCTCCGGATTGCGCTGTCTGTTTTCCCTGTTCGTCCGCTAGAGCCCGCTGCAATGGCGCGCCTCAATACCCATCTTTCTGCTACGCCACAAACACGCGCCTCTACCGTTGACTCCCTCTACCGCGACCCCTCCGTAGTGCCCCGAGCAGAGCAAAATGGACGCACATCTTCCTACTCAGTGATCAGTCCGACCCGGTCCATGAACTCAGACAAGGAGAACGAATCACCTGCAACTCGCGATAATACCCCGCTGCGCGGCAAATCAAGGGGCCTGAGGGTCGCGTCAGCGCGTATGCCTACACCGGATTCAGGCTCGACAGAAGGCAATGGCAGCAAGAGAAGGCGCACAGACAACTACACCATGTCCCGTTCACAAATATATGACGACGAGCAGGATGCGGACCAGGATGACGAAGAGGACAGCATCGATACGCCTTCACAGTCTCATCTTCAGCCTGAGCAAGAGGAAGAGGGCCATCTCAGGTTCTACAACCCTAACCAGGATCCTGAGAAGCGAAGGCGGCTACGTGCGACAATGCGCGATCATCAGCGCATGCTGGATGGTGGGTTCAGCACCGCCTTAGCAGCTGTGTAAACTCAACTGACCAAGACAGACAATCGCGATGACCTCATCAAGGCGCACGATAGTGGCCTGCTTGATGCCCTCAGAACGCAAAATAGCCTTTTTGGCAAAGTGCGCCAAACAGCTGACGCTACTGTAGACTCCCGTTTCTTGGTTAACGCCAGTGACTTGGCAGGCAAAAAGCTCAACAACGCCTTGGGCAATTACAGTGCAGGCATCGATCTAGACCAGTTCGTTTCCAAATGTATATACTTCATGAAATCAGGGGGCTACGTGGCGGGAGACGAGGACGCACCAGCCATGCCAGTGGGTGATGACGATGATGATGACCCAGATGGTCTTGATTGGGCAATGTTAGGCCGAAGGGCATGTTTTCCCTGCAACAAGCGGCCACCTACTGCCAGTTTTCTTCTTGGCCCATTATCAGTACAGAAGCGCATTCGATCAGCAACACAGCGGAGAGTTCGGTCCCAACGACAACCAGTCGGCCCTGCAACCCGGCCACAGGAGATCAAGGAAGGCGACATCCAGCAGAACGAAAATAACAACCTCTCCAATCTTGTCAAGGGCATCCGAAAACGACTAATCGATCATACCAAGCAAGGTGCAGACCGTGTGGAAAGCGAGCTCAGCGAGATACCGGAGAGTGAGATGGACGATGAATCGCAAAACGCCGCTTTCCGCCGATATAGAATGGCCATGACCACAGATGGAGAGCCTGCTGTTGATTTACTCGATTTCGCCATCAATCCGCACGACTTCGGCCAGACGGTAGAAAACTTGTTTTATATCAGTTTCTTGGTGAGAGAAGGCAATGCCAAGATCGTCAAGGATGACGATGGCCTTCCGTTACTGGGTAAGAGCAACCGCGTTCGTATTCCCTTCATCTACTTACCTGTGACTAGTACCAGCAGCGCCTCGCGGCGTCTCGGAGCAACGAGAAGACAATGTCCAAAAACATCAAGCCGTCTTCAGCCTCGACTATCCCACTTGGCGAATGTTCATTGATGCTTACGATATTAAAGAGCCTCTCATACCGCATCGTGAAAATGAAGAGGCAAATGTCGGGTCGAATGGCTGGTACAATGGATAAATGTCGCTTTGGTACCGCACATTGAGATGTTGTTTCTTACTCTTGGGTGCATTTTCAGCCGCATAAAGCTCTTGTGCGTTGCGACATGACCTGGCATCTATCCATGCCATCAGCCGTCCTTACGGTTTTACCTTCTTCCACACTCTCGTATCTCCCAACGGCCATTGTCTCGCTCCGCATAAATCATGGATTTGATTCCGGGCCAGTGCAGCGCTCGGCCGCATGACCTTTTTTTTACCCATGCCCAGCCAACGTTGTCTTCGACGTTATCATCTGTTCTTAGTACTAGTACGCGATACCCCATGTCTTGCTTTCAAATATGTCAATTAGCTTGGAGAAGATGTCCGTGTCTTCATCTCATCTGTCCTACGTGGTCACTACGTCTTCCTTTCTTGCCGCTTGCAATAAAACTTCATCCGGTGAGTTCCTATCGTGAGGGCTTGAGCCTGGTTGAGCCTGGTTTAGCAACAACCGCGCACTGACCAAGGCTACCAAATCGTCATCCCAACTTCTCCCCTTGTCTCACGTAATACTCCCCCTTGAGATTGGACCGTACGTAGGGCTAGGTCAAATTCAACAACCGCTCGTGAGTCTGCCTCGTCCATACCAAAGCTCTGGTCAGTACGCTTCGCACGCATTGATTGCAGCCGTCGCGTTCAGATGTCCAAGCTGATGTCTCTCATCGACGATTCACTCAGCCTCGGATCGCCTAGTATCCGCTCTTACGCTACAAGGTATGTAGCCTTATCCAACGGGATGAGCTGACAACCTTCTATTGCTATCATCCTACAGGGATGGACAATTGTTGTCACATCTCCTGCTTCGAAGGTCGCAATTCATCAAAGCGCGCAATGCTCGCCCTGGAATTTAGACTTTGAGAGATCTAAGCATATCAGGCTCATCTCTAGGGAGAAATAGTATTGCAAAGTATCCGTTTGCAAGACTAGCAGATTGTAGACCGTCGTTGACGCCCTTCACCTGTGTAGTGGTGCGCAACCTTGTTCGAAAATGGCGTACTTGGATCCCACCCCAAGCCCATCTCGTATCCACTGCTCCACCCCCAGATCCCCCTCATCATCCCCCACTCAGCAACCGCTAGATCCTGGAAGATGATCGACGTGACGTGACGAATTCGGCAGGTCATCAACACTCTCTTTTCCAAATAAGTTTTCCCTTTGGTGTAGTAAACCGACTAATGAAATTTTGATATTTTTACAACTCGATGCATCCAAAGATCCGTGCGGCTGCTTACGCCAACTTTTCTTTATTTCACCCACCTTCCTCTTCCATGCAAAACTATTTTTGGGTAATGAGGACGCGCGCCGTGGTACGACCTTCTTGCAGTACGCGTCGTCACGTTGGGTGCTGTGGTAGGCTGGTATATGGTTTGGATGACAAGGCTTTCCAGAAGGGTGGGGAAGAGTTAGATTTGCCACGAGGTTTTTCTTTACAACGTGTTACTGGGATGGTGCGTTGGTGTGTTGACTAGTTTTCGCTCCGTCTCTTTCTTCCGAGTTCCTTCTCATGGAAGCTGTTTCAAGTCCAAAAACAATGAGTCAGGTATAGTGGAACTTGCTGCTTTGCCTTCGTCTTCCTTCAAGGTGCTTGTGCGTTCTCCTACTTTTGAGTTACTCGCTTGAGGTATGTATGGCGAGGCTTCGTCGGCTATGAGAGTGTAATCTGGGAAACTCTACAAGATTTGAAGCAACGTCATTGGCCCTGAATACGGTTTTAGTTCGTGCTCGCGTTGCATATCATGTTGCAACAGGTCAGAAAAGGGGGTGTTTCTCTAGCTCCATTGTGCAGTGCCTGAGGTCCGACAGGTGAAATGAGGGGTTCAGTTTGACTTTCGGATATAAGGCTGGGGAACTCGGTCAGAGTACGTGGTGATATGGTTGTAAGAAGTCTTGGGAATCTTTCGAGGCCCGATTGTAGAGGTCGACAGGGATATTCTGGCCTCCGTAGCAACCCTACAAGGGCCGAATAGGCCAGTGAAAGCATGCTCATTCTGATGCCCGGAGGCCCGGGGACGTGTCCGAACAACTGTCCCGTTATTGCCGAGAGAGTGTAGCACGTGATGTGCCGTGCCTAGATGCCGCCAAGTTGCCTGTTCGCCGAGTCTCCTGCTCGCCGAGTAGTGCTTGAGGAGGATCTCCGAAACTGGTCTTGAAGTTGTGCTCCATGCATGCAGGTACGTGCATCCGGGTAGGGCGGAAATCAACCTTTTCTGCCTCGGTAGAGAAATGACGACGAACAACAAGTAAAGTAAGTTTTAACTCATACAATCGAAGAAACCGCATATACTATCTACTTCGCCGTCCTGGTTTCACAACAGTTGTCACTCTGCATCATTTGTTGCATGGATATGGCGGACATATTGCGGGCATCGGGAGAAACGAGGAGCATCCGGTTACAGATTAGAGAGATCTTGCCACATTCCTACCGGATGTATACGCAGTAGTGCGTATGTGCCTATTACAAACCTGATATGCGCAGGCATTGTCCAGAACATCATGTTCGCGCCACTGAGTCGTGTTGTGACAGTACTAGTATGGATTTGCGCAAGCTTGGAAACATCCCGCTAAATGCTATTCTTTTTCTCCACCAAGCCAAGCTATTGTCACGGGCAAAATCAAGTATTGGCACCCGTAAAGGGGTTGTGAGTTTCAAATGCTTAGTTGGCAATCGGCTGCTTGGAAGTCAGATCAGTGCTGATCAATCTTAGCCCTACTTACTATTGCTTTACGCCCGTAAATCTCGCCGCAATTTTGTCAGCACAACGACCGGACCGCTCGACAGAAGATCGCTTACAAGCGAGCTTGAAATCTGCTGCTGACGATGTCGTCTATTGCTAGAAGAAACAATTGTGATTGTTAATTGGCCAAGAAGCTGACATAAGTATGTGTTCCTGAATCAGGATAGGTAACAATTGTCACAGTTCCTGACCACGACACTTGAATGTCACTACACAGTGGGCGTATATGCATTAAATGATTTCAGACAATGCTAAAGAGGACATAGCGTGCAAAGCTCGGCCCACGTCGTTTGGGAATAGGCGCTTGAGGCCAACTTCGTATACATAAGCCCAAGTTGAGTGGGGATAGGGCTCGAGGGGTCTGCCCGTTTGCCAAGGTGTTGGATGTTTGATGGTTAGAAATCATTCATGATTGCAAAAAGCACTGGTGCTTTGGCAGTGTAACAAAGTTTCCCATTGTGATGCTACACGCTTACCTACCGTCGGGCTCCGTCAGTGTCATTGCGAGCGCTAGTGTTACTGGCCATGAAGCCTGGGTCGCTGTCATTTCTCAGCACCAATTCGCAATTCAAGTATCTTCCTGAGTCTAGGCAACGACAGTAGGAAGCTTAAGGAACGTCCAAGGCGACGAGGGTTTCAACAGTGATGATCGTGGCGTGAGGGACAAAGCTGCTGCTGGCTGCAGTTTATTTGCCCTATACTATAACCAAGTACTATGCAGTGGCTCTGTATGAAACAAAGATACCTCTCTCTGCGTGACAGCAGTTGAACCCATGAGGGGCACGAAACGCCACGCCGTCTGAGCCCCAGGGCCTTATTCGCAGACGTTGCCCCGAGATGACTGAGTCAGTTGGCCAACTACGAATGAGGGCTGGCGGTTGTTCTCCCGCACATGGGCTGTAGGGCTCAGTGCGCGGGCCAACCGTCACTAGCGCCCGTCGTTGTCAAGTTAGCGTGTTTAGGAATTTGATATACGCCGGCTTACTCCCGTTCTCCTTCTACAAAGACATGTTCGCTCCTAATGGGGTGCCGGTGATCAGTACCTGTTCAGTAAACTACGGCTCAGAAATCCAATCATTTGGTCCTGCCAATTCTCCGATCCATCCACTTCTGGGTGCAATTGCGAATTCAGACTCCGCTTGGCGGGCGCAAGTTGGCTCTCTTGCCCCTTCTGCCCGGGCACCTGAACCCCTCCCGCTCTATGCTATGTGTTTAGGAGCATCCAATCCGACTTTTTAAACTTTGCATACTTACGTATTGGCGTCAAGAGGCATGATCGATCGGCGGCTGGCGGAAGAGCCCGCATACACGTGAGCCGTCAGACATGAACTTCCCGTTGGCTATAAGGTAGCAGTGGCGTTCACCTTCATGGTTTTCGTTCCCCAGTGTTTCCCGCATTCCTTGCCGCGACTCTCCTATGGTTCACTCTCGGCTTGTCTCGTATTACTGGACCGTTTCCTTGGTCATTCCTTAAAAATGGAGATAATGCTCTCTCCTACCGGCACCTACTCCAGCACGGCTGTGCCACTGGAAGATCCACACCCCGAGGTTGAGCTGGCTCCCCCACACCAGTTTGAGCCAATCGTTATACCTCGTCAAATGTCTCCTTTGTCCTCTCCTCCTACTCCAGAAATCACCCGGTTACCCTCCGTCCGTTCCAAACTTGGTCACAGAGCCAGAGCAGATAGCGTTGCGACTGATGCTTGTGCCAAACGCGAATCCTATAACCTGACTGGCACGACATTTCTCATCACCAATGATGGAAGGACTTTGAAGCTACCAGTTGCTTCAGAAAGCAATGCTGACCCTCTCAACTGGAGCGACCTAAAGACTGCCGGGGCTTTTTTTGCCATCGTTTTTTACTCCGCTGTCTGTTTGACCGCTGCCCAGGCGCCAGCTGTGATGTTGGACAGCATCCAGAACACTTTCAAACATGAGGTTAGGAGGATCGGTCTGTTTCACATGAATACTTTACTAACAAATTTCGCAGAACATAGCGCCATGGCTGATCAAAGCCCTCGTTACCGGCCCTCCTCTTTTCATGGGTATTGGATGTTTTGTTTGGGTGCCACTCTCCATCGGCTTAGGCCGTCGACCAACAGTCTTGATCGCCACCATGATTGTGCTGATTGCTACACTCGGGGCATCTCAGGCACGATCTTTCGCTCAACTAGTCGTTGCCTCTTGTTTTATCGGTCTTAGTGAAGGAGTGGGTCTTTGTCTGGTCAGTGATTCATCTCAACGACCACGAGGACTTCTTACTGACAATACCAGGCATTCCTCGTCGTCATTGATCTGACCTACATCAACCAGAGGCCGCGAGCAATTTCGTTCATGTGGTGCGTCGCAGGCTGTTTCGGCACATCGGGCGTTGCACTGGCTCCAGTCATCGCAAATCACGGACGGGATTGGCGCCAGTTCTACTATTTCTGGACTATACCTGTTGTCCTCTCACTTATCGTTACCTTCGCGCTCTACCCCGAGACGTACTTCAAGCGACCAACAGTAGCCTTCAACGGCCTCATACTGATGCAAAGTGCGACCGAGAAACTAACAATCTACCAAGACCGCGAGGTTGACTCAAGCATCTATCGCGATCTTCCCGAATACCCAGTCCGTAAAGGGTTCGCCGGTTTCCGTGATCGCGTTGGTCTCTCACGATCCCCCTTTGCATCGTGGAGTTCGGCAGGTCGCTGCTATCTCCAGATGGCTTATTGTGCATGCAATCCCCTACTCTTCTGGGTCTTTGTCGCATCCGGCTTCAACTCAGCAAGCATGATATTCATTGGCGCAACAAACAGTCGCATACTCACCTCTCCTCCTTACAATCTGTCGCCTGAGGTTGTCGGTACGGTTTATGCCGCATCTGGGGTGGGAGCACTGATTGGACTTCCTGTGTGTTGGATCGTTATCTGCAATGGTCTCAAGCGACTCTCACAGCGCAATCACGGTGTCCTGGAGGCCGAGCACTACCTCATCGCCTATGTCCTGCCAATCATCGTCGGCGCTTTGAGCTCTCTCGTTTATGGTCTTGCCGTCAAGTTCCAATGGCATTGGATGTTTCTCTACCTGGCCTATGGAGGTCACGGCTTCTCTCTCGTTACTTTAATGACTGCAAACACACTTTGGGTTGCGGAAGCTTTCCCGCGGTGGGCCGCTCCGGCGCTTGCTGTGGTTATTGGAGGCTGTTATTTCATCTCTTTTGCATTGAGCTTTGCTCTTATCCCTTGGGTTGAGGCCCATGGCTATCTATGGGTTGGTGTTGAACTCATGATTTTCCAGATTCTCGGTGGGCTGGTTGCGCTGCCTGTCGCATTTTGGGGCAAGGGTATGCGACAAGCTATTGCAGGGAGATGGTCCGAAGACCGCAGTGGGGCCTTGCGTCCACTCTGAAAGTTTCTGTTATAGCCCACTAGATAGGCGATTCAACATATCCTATCCACAACTAATGTTGATGTAATATATAATCCGTGAAAGTTGCTGAAGTGGTGTGCAACTTTAGCTACATACCACCCAATCTACTCACACGAGCACCTCACATACCAAATGCCATAAAATACAGCTAGATGGATGTCTGGAGATTGTGAAGTGGCCTAATAGTTGACGAACAAATTTATAGTCTATTTGATTCTATTTTGCATCACATCCAACATCCAAATTCCATCCTTCCGAATGCCTCTCTTCCTTCCCAACAGTCAGCTAGTACTTTGTCTCTTTTCGCACAAGCGGCTTCAGTCCAGGCAGCGCGACAACGATGATGGAGAGTGTCATCTCTACCATGCTCAAAGGATCTATCAAAAGACATGTCAGTCACTCTGCTTGAGATTGAAGACGGAAGTTCGGATATGACTGTACTTACAAACGAGGTTCTCCTGTCCGGTACCAACTTTAAGGCAGACGAAACGCACGATACCGGATGCAATAGTCAAAGCACCCAAGGCGAAGGTAAGAGCAACGCCCGTCGAAGACCTTAGCACTCCCTTGGCCAAAAGGACAACAGGGACAGCGTAAACAACAAGGTAACACGCCAGGTTGAGCGTGAAGTTGAGTATGAATGGCTCTGGCGCATAGAAGACAGAGCACGCGCCCTCCTCTTGAGACCATTGTTCAGAGACAGGGACACCGCAAAAGAAGGTATCGTCAAAGAGAATGGTGACATAGCACGCGACCACAAATGCTGTAATAGCGAAAAGCATCTTGCGCAGTCCAGGATGACCAGCCAGGTTGAAGAACGCCCAGTAGAACGCGAGCATGCTCAATTTGGGGAACCCCATACCGACATCGTAGAAGTAGTTTGAAGCAAACGAGATCTAGCAGGAAACCAGCGTTAGTCGTGTGCAACTGGGTTCTCGCGGGAAAGGATGGAACTGACCTTTGATAGTTTCTCAGATGTCTCGTATGCGTCCAAGACGCCCATGCGGAATGTGAGCGTGTCACAGATGATCAGGCCCAGGGCTACCAGCGCCGACACGATAAGCAGATAGTCGGACAAGTCGAGGCGCGAATGTAACCGGACCAAGCGCGTGTAAATGCGTAGAGCAACGAAGATGTAAGCGAAGATTAACAGGATCCATTCTGAGATCTAAAAAACCATTCCATCCCGTCAGCCTATGCAGAACGTACATGTATGTGATATTATAACTTTAGGGAGAAACTCACCATGCAATCTTGCCCGGTAATGCGATGTGCCATTGTTGCTCGCGTGCGTAGTGTGACGAAAATCGCGTCACAAAGTTGAAAAGGCAAAAAGACCCAATGAAGAAGAGAGAAAAGGCGGTTCGCTCGCTTCAGAAAGTTGTGAACAAACAAAACCCTTCTACATGAGCATTTGTATACAAGGCAGGCAACATTATCGATGTTTGCAGGGGGGGCACAGGATAGATTGCACACCAGCGCACGTCTCGCAACGACAAGACCTTGGGTCGTATGTTGGAGGCGAGGGGCGACTACACCACCTATCACGAGAGGGTGCAGACCGGATATTAGGCCTCAATAGCGTTTGAAGGAATGATGGGACACGTTCCATTGCATGCATGCGCGCGGAAAGGGGGGACTTTGGGAATGGGAGACGGTTTTGAAGCCGCGAAGGAATGGACCGGTCCCAACAGCAGCCCATGTTTGGCTCGTCGGCTGAACCGTTGGCCTGGGTTTTTTTTTACTGCTATCCAGACTCAAGGCGGGAATAGCCTGATGCCATGTGGGCCATTTTTCATCCATAGTATTTTTCCAGGCATCGTCTTCGATGGTACAGGCTGTCGTGTGATACATCAGCGTCAGTCGCAGTCATCATTGTTTACCATGTGTAGTAAGGGTTGGACATCTGCTCTTGATTGTGATTTGGCATGGAACCGGTGGCTTAATTTGCCAGACAAAGTGCAATATAAGCGAAGCATTCTGCCAATGCTGATCCACCCCACAGCATGCTTGCGGCACGGTTCGAAGCCAAGGTGAATGAAGATGTCTGGAAAGGTGGAGCCAGCGGCGCTCAGGGCTCGCTTGGAGCAACTCCCCGTGAGGCGCGGGCGCTCGGCCGCCAACGCGGACCGCCATGCGAACATGGATGAAAGAGCGCCATCATGTCAATGGCTACGCGCTCACCAAGGCCGAATCCTGAATTCCCATGGCTAGTAATTATTAATAAGGAAAATCTACTGAGCCTGCTGTACTGTAACTACATTAATGGGACCCTGCCTCGATCCTTCAGTCTCATACCACCTCGGTCGGCCCCCCGTACTGGCTGAAAATCCTGTCGGGCGGCCAGCCCCGGGATAATTCTTCATGGCAATTTTCCAACAGGTTCGCTGTCTTCGTCCTGCGACCGCGAAAACTGCACACTGACCCGCCGCGTCTCGTAAATGACATCCTTCCTCCCAAGACTATTCAGCTCCACCTCGCTTCCAGACTCCTCGTCGCTATGTATGCGAACGGTGTGTTTTCCTCTTCTGGAAGGACGCATAAAACCCTGCGAGCCACTGGCAGGTGTCCGTTGGCCATAGGTCGTGCGCGAATCCGATGTGCGTGATTTTTTGTGGAAAGAGAAGAAGCCACCGCGCCGAAGGAATGATCTCATGGATGGTAGCGATACTACGATGATGGCAATGGCCAACTCAGCCATTGAAAGTACGACTGCAGATGTGTTAGTGCTGGTGACCTCTTTGCGGCTCTGCTACGCCCAGAATATGACGACATACAAACGTTGGTCCAGGCATAAATGACCTCTATCGTCACAAATCGAACAACACTCATTGATATGGTGACAGCTCCGAGGCAAAATGTGACGATAAGACCCCAGATCTGTCGGCGCTGGAGTTGCAATGAGTGAAGAAGTGGGAACGGCAATCCAAAAACTGTCTCTTGGTCAGATAATCGCTGAGAATATAATGAAAACATCGAGAGCATACTCAACACATCGGACACGATATTCATGCTCCAGTCGATCCTGAACACCGTTTTTGAAGTGAAGGTGTTGCATGCACCTTCTTCTAGAGACCAGTTCACTGACACTTCAGAACCGCACCAGAAGGTATCTAGAAAGAATGTTGTGATCATGGCGCTTCCCGTGAATACCGCCACTGCATAGAGCGCTTTTCGCAACCATGGCATTGTCGGCGGGATCAGACGAAAGTATAATGCGAGGATGGCTAGTTTTGGCAAGTAGATTCCGGTATCATAGAAAGCATTGCCAGCAAATTGTACCTGTTGTAAAGGACATCAGTTCATCAATAACCCATGAGCAGCCAGATTAGACTCCTTACTTTCTTGAGGGCAATAGCGCGAGCATCTGACATTTCCACTTCGTCCTCAGACATGCCTCCCCATTCGTACGTCAAGACATCGGTTGCGAAGAGCCCGATGGCGTCGAGTATTGATGCGACCAGGAAGCAATCACTTAAGGTAAGAGATTGCCGCTGCACGAGTCGTGGAATAAGACGACCAGACGCTACGAATGTAGAGAGACCTAATAACATAGCCTCAATGGGCTTTGTACATGAGAGTTAGAAAGAATATCATACCGCACCACCTCTTTGGCATTGCCATAATTGAACACTCACAACAACAGCTTCTGAAGCAACTCCACCCGCCATTATGTCAACAGAGTCTTGAAATCCAAGACTGAACGAAAAGTAAAAAAAAACTAGTGATGAAGATCCAGCCGCATGTCCAGGCACTTCACCTTTCTTTTCATTATGTTCACTGCATATGAAAAAACCCGGCCGTAGGGTACTACCAGATTGTGCCAGCCCGTACCGAAATGGCCCGCTGCCTGCTGGGCGCCTGTGCCTGGCTCATGCAATGGCAGTGTAGGCCTCATCTTACGCAAACCATATTGATCGGAAATAATGCGCCAGTCGTAGCCTAGCTCTGTGTTGTATGCAGACGCGGGGTTTGTCCGTCCAATAGGGTGATGTGAGGCTATATGAGGGACGCAGGGATTGGTTCTAGAGGCTAGATGGAACGAAGAACTGCGGCATAATCCGGTCTCATCTACCATGGAAGAAGTTTGCCGCTGGACTTTTCCATATGTTAGGCCTTCTGCTGTGGAGGAGCGCATGTCGTCTAAGCGGGAGGAAGCCAATCCCGCTCCGCGCTACCTAGCTGGCTGAATGCTGTGCAACTCCATTTCTGCAGAAGGGAAATTCTCTTACGTATGAACCTTTTCGTGTCGAAATGCTACATGTAGATACATCCATGTTTGTATAGAAAGAGGTGGCCGCGAAATGAGCGCAACAGTGGAGTAATGTTGAGATCGTGCTCGGGCCAGACGATGAACACGCTGTGGCTTTGTTAGATATGCCCCCTAGTACGGCAGAAATACCAACTAGAAACAGATATTTCGAGCAGTTATCTTGATTCCACCAATATCAGGCTTGACAAGAGTTCCCAATGATGGCAAGGGGGATGCGATACAAGAGCCAAGGACGGATTGGCTGTCAAGAGACGGGATCACATCGAAGGGACCAAAGTAACCGAGTTTCATACCCTCGAGGTATCTGCGACATGTTGCGCCCACATGTTCGCACCCTCGGCTTGATGGAGAAAAGTTGATTGCGCAATAGTACATAGGCCACGATCTGCGTTGCACAGGGGAGAGCTGAGGAATGACGTAATGTCAGACCCTGACAGCCCTCTTCTCCACCAAGTCCACGACACCCGCCAACCACCATCCACCACACATCGCCTTCTGCAAATCCTATCGCAAACAAGCAATGGCGCCGTCTAGAATCCAGATAGAAGCCGTTACCAGTGAGGCCAAGCCCTGCAGCGCGATGTGGGAATGCGCTAGGAACCGGTTTTGCGTACCTGCGCAAGGCCTGGTAGACTAGTGACGGCATAAGGCGTCTGGGGAGATAGTGAAGAGCGGTACGTTTACGACATATATCCGCACAATGAGCGCCTTTTGAAGCCCCGCACATTGAGTGGAGTCTGTTCACGTACGACCGTAGCCATCTTCAATATCAACTATTGTCGAAAAGATTTTCAATCCGGTCTTCATCGAAGCCAACAAGCGATACAGCCATGCCATCCTCCATATCAGAGCAAACGACCAATTACTACACGCCCAGCAATAAGAAAGAGAGGGGAAGAAAGGACAGCAGCTCGGCGGGGTCTTATATCCCTACCAAACCACCACCGAGTCGGACACCTTCAACACGCATAGCCCACCCAGCGCGACCACCACGCCAACATGGGCAAACTGCAAACTCGGTACCAACCAATTCACGCCCTCAGAGACCGGGTCTTGAGCGCCGCCGCACCACAGCACGCACACGCTACATCGACATGCTGCTCGGCCTCGATTCAGTCTCCCCACTGCACAACCTGCTCTGTTCAGCATTCGTCTGGCTCCTACTTGCTGGCTACATTGTCTTCCCCGCGACATTTACCAAACTCCAACGCACCGACGCAAAGCCCGGGGACAATGGCTTCAGTGCCGCGGCTCTGAAAACCGTGCGCAACATTCCTCTGCTGTACGTCGCGGCCTTTGCGTGTGGCATTGGCGTCGCGGGGTGCTTGTGGCTGTGGTGGCAACATCGCAAGAACTACGTGTGGGTGATTCATAGGATTTTCCTGCCTGCGCTGCTGAATAGCATTGCGGGTCTTATTTCGACCATTGTGAATGTGTATTCTGCGCAGGACGGGCAGTATAGTGTTACTGCTCGTGTGACGATTGTGGTTACAGCGGCATGCAGTGTCGTTGCTGCTGCGCTGTTCTTGGTATACAACACCATCATGCTGGGCATCGTAAGAAGGAGACATGAAAGGGAGATTGCGGCCGTTGAAAAGGAACAGGCAAGACGTGATGGCAGTCGTGACGAAGCAGTTTGAAATTGGCCTTTTCTCTTTACTGCAAGATGCAGCAGTGCTAACATTGTTCCAACCCCATCTTATCTTAATAAAACAACCTCCCAAACCCCATATCCCTATGTAATAATGAAATGAAAAAAAAGGAGAACATCTTGCCTTAGCAGCCCAGACCCCATTCACAACTCATCCCTCCCCTCCCTCGCCTTAACCACCATCGCCTCAACCGTAAACCGCACCTCCTTGCCCCCCAAGCTCTCATGCCTAACCTTACCAACCACCTTCCCATCCCCAAGCTCATTACTATACCTTTCAAGCCCCTCAAACACACCCTCACACTCCTTCCCCTGCTCCTCCTCCACATCCTCCACCCAAAGCGGCAGCAAGGGATAAATCGCTCCCGGGGCAAAAAACACCAAATCATCCTGCACACTAAAATGGCGCTGCAGCGTTTCTTTCTTGAGCCACTCGCGCACTTTGTAAGGTACGTCGGTCATGTGCATGGCGATGAGCTCGCGGCCTACGCCGTGCACGTCGATGCCGTCCCAGGACCCCGCGTAGAGTTGTTTGTTGTAGAAGACTTTGAGTTGGGGGGCTTGCTCGGCGAGGTCTGGGTAGAGTTCGTTGAGTTTGTAGATTTTGGCGGTGTAGCTGGAGGTGGAGCGGCAGTGCTGCGTGTAGGGGGTGAGGCTCGTGTCGTTCCATTTTGCGGTCCACAGGGCGCCGACGGGGGTGGGTTCGTCGGCAGGTGGGGTGGAGGAATCTGAGGAGGCGGAGGTGGTGGCAGAGAGGAGGAGGGGGGAGAGGAGGGGGAGGAGGAAACGCATTTTTTTTCGATCTTTCCGTCGTTTGGATAGAGTTAAGGTGTTGCTTTTTTTCTTTCTCCTGGTGTTTTTCTGGGGAAAAAAGTGTATACAAATACTCCACGTCAACGAGAAACGGCTTCAAACTCTAAGTAAAAGATCGCGTTCAGATACGACTCGAAACTCTGCGGTCAAAAAAAGAGAGAGAAGAATTGTCAGTAACTTTCTTACTTTATCCAGGAGACTTTTCTCCAAACTCCGCGCCCATCTTATACGAATAAAAGATACTATACGTCCTCTGCAACAGTTAATGCCATTCTGTCCTCTTCTCGCGCACCATAATTAAGACCGAACAAAAAGTGCGTCCCATGACGTTTCGCGATTCCGCCTCACCATCCCGCTTTCCATATTAACCGGCAAGGATGCTCGCCGACGCCATCACCAGCGCGAATTAGATTAAAAGAACACGGTACACCAAGAAAACATGGCATGCGACGGTTTTTTCTCGGTACTTGCTTGGCCGAAGCCTGCGCGCACGTGTCTTGTGGACGTTGTGTGGTTCCGGGTTATTAGCTGTGGGTATTTGGGATGGGGATTGCGGTGGGGAGTGTTTTGCGGGGATGGGGGATGGAGGAGAGTCATGTGTGAGCGGCGGGGTCTTATTGCATGGCAGGCTAGAGCGGATTTGTCCGACTTCATATACTACATACGCCAGTCACAACAGGGTTTCGCTGGTCTGCATTCTAGTAAGCATTGTCGGGCAAAGACACAAGCATACGTAGTTAGATTATTGCAGTGAGGTCATATTTCTTTGCGCAGGGGAAATAGTCTATAAATCCTAGATATAGAGTGGAAATTATGATAATGCAAAAACCATCCCAAAGTCGTTGATCGTAAATGCCTGAGAGAAGAACCATGCATCAGTGGACGTAAGTGCTTGCTCTACACATACCTGAAATCCGTCATTGCCGTTCGTCAGCCTCTAAACTCCTCGTAATATGCCGCTGGTATCGTGATTCATTCATCATCAACACGTCGAGAAAGACCAAATTTCATCTTCCATCTCCAAAACACCCGCCTACGACTCTCCTCCATTCTCCAGCGCCTGCCTCCTCTTCTCCGCCAACTCCCTCCTCTTCCTCTGCTCGCTCCCTGCATGCGAAATCGCCATGACCATATTAAACGCAAACGTGCCGACGAAAATCACAACCACAAACGCCAAGATAACAAGCACACTAATCATGCTGAAGACGACAAACACAAACGCTGCTTGGACGAATGCTTGATCGTTTTCGAGCGAAACGGGCGATGTGGATGGAAGCGAGAAACTAACTTCCATGGCCGATAGCACGACGGAGAAGAAAACGAAGACGATAAGGACCCAGGAGAATTTCCGCTGGAAGAAGATGACGTAGCGGTTGTAGCCCCATCTATCCAAAAACTTCCCATTAGCAAAACCCTCTTCCACAAAGAATCAGAAACGGGAGGGGGGAAAGGGGAAATACATACAGATACCCCCTCACAAAATGCGTATGCGCATATCTTACCCGATACGTCGTATTGATCCTACCGAGCCTCAAATCCCCAAACTGATACCTCTTATTCACCTGATGCAGCGTGTCAATATCCACATGGGCGATGAAATCGCTAACAAAGGCCTTCCACCAATGCCAAGTTACAAACGTCGGAAGTAAGGAATTCTCATGCGCGATCTTGAGGTCAAGAGGTGTAGTAACTAGCCAGACGTAGCTAACGAGGAAACCGGCAGCGCTTTTCCAGAGCCAGCCTTGTTCGCGTTTGCCATCGTCAGAGGAGGAGGGGCAGGAATCGTGGGTGCAGATCCAGTCGGTCCAGAATTTGTGGCAGAGGATCCATTCAGGGAGGGGCTTGATGAGGAGTTTTGAGCTGAATTTTAGGAGGTGCAGGTCCATTTGTTGGGTCTGGATGACTTGCATGCCGAGCATTGTGTAGCGGTGCAGAGGACGGGCACGCATGGGACGGCCGGCCATCCAGAGGTGGCCATGAATGCGGTTTAGGCGAGCGAGGTCGAGATCAAAGGCGAGGAAAGCTGGGATTTCATACTCGGGCCTGATGATGTGGTCGCTTTTCCCGGTTATGGTAGGGAGGGAGTCAAGAGCTGATAAGGGCCGGTTGGTGGATGATTGGAGAAAAGATTGTGTGTTGTTGAGAGGAGTGGTTTCATTCTGACTCAAGGTCCCAGCTGTTGATTCAGTATTATCCGCATCTGCGTTGGAGTTTGGTGGAATGGGCTGTGGAGAGAAGGGAGGCTTGAGCATGTAGCTCTCGTGATTTGTTTGAATTGGCGTCTTTTCAGCCATATTTTCCTTTGGCAAGAACCAGGGAAAATCAGATAGAGCGGTGGACCATATATAAGGTTGTCGCGAGCTGCGAGTGTGGCAGTGTCACGATGCTCTTACACGTGCAAGCATACCAGGCACACGACGACATGGGATGGCGGGAGCTAAGGGGTATGCGGGCTGGGCGGGGGCCAAAAAGCGCCTGAGGCGGAGTCTTGGTGGCACAGTCGATACAACTACGCATATCGCAACGTGTGATTGGACAAGAACCTGTATGGACTCGGAGGGCTAAGCCACCTCATGGAGGAGGCTGGTGACCTTTGCATGGAGATGGTGTTGGCTATGAAAATGTCTCAATTCTGTTGAAACTTCAAACAATAATAATTATTCAGCCTCAGGAGTAACTAAGGCCACATAGGGATACCAACGCCTCCGTCTAATGCAGTTTTGGATATCAGTTTTTTTTAGTCCCATTTTGTCTCTCATCCGCATGTCATGTCTGTGTCGTAAGCCCACACTTATTTGCAGTAGTTTGCAGGGAAGCTGCCCTTCTGCCCATGAACCTCGCCCTCCCACCAGTCCTGTGAGCTCTGCGTCTTCTTGATGACTCTAATCCGGTCACCTTCCCTAAACGACAAATCACCAGGTGTAAGGCTATCGAAGTCGTACATGGCCGTCACGTACTCGGACTGGAAAGAGCCTATCTTCTTTGGCGGAGGTGGCGGCGGCTTCTTCTTTCCAGCCGCAGGATTCGGCGAGGTTGGGTATCCACCTGGAGTTGAGCCATTGGAAGCGGCTGACGGGATCTTATTGAAGTAACCATCACCATTGGTGCCATTCGAATACGAGGAAGCCTGGGATGTAGATGACAGACGCCGGCCGTACATGTCCCCGCCAGCGCTCAGATGGGGCGAGCCAGAGATTTTGGGTTTTGTAGCACTGAGCGAACTGTATGAAGGTTTGCTGGCTAGGCTGATGGGTGGAGGAGCGCCTTCCGATGTTGAAGACAGAGAAGGTGGGGGCCGCGCCGGTCTCCCGGCGCTGCTGATTGTAGGTATGCTGTCATTGCTACTAGCTCTCCGGCTGGGCAGCACCTTGTTCCTAATTCCCAGACCGGTCACAGTGTCTCCCTTGTCTGGCAATCGCATAGGCATGTGAACTGCTTTTCCTGACTTGAGCAAGCCAAAGTTTGTCTCCATCTCTGTGCGCAGTGGTGTAAAGCTTGCGTCCCATACGGGTATTACCTCTTCGGGCTCAGGCGGGGGGTCCGGGTAGCCTTGCTCGTTCGAGTATTGATGTAGTACAGTGTACAAGTTTCCAATCAGGTTATTTTGTAACACAATCTGGTTGGCGAGAAGGTGGGGTAGGATGGAAAAGGTGGCAGCATTGAGGCGCGGGAGACGCTCACGGAGATTCTCGTCAGCGAGGTGGTAGGCATGGGTAGAGCGCTCGAGGTCGACTTCGTGTTTAGCAAGCGCACTGTTCTCGCGCTCAGAACGTGTCTTTTTGTTCTGTAGGGTTTCGCAGCGGCTCTTGTAGCGTTCGTAATCGACCTGAGTAAAGAATGAGTGTGACGACGGACAAGCTGGTGCAAAACATGGCGAACCTTTGCGTCTTCGCGCTTCTTGATGGCCTTCTCCATGGGCTTCAAGGCATCACGGGCAAGCTTAGCAGGCACGACAAGTTTCCTGTCAATGTCCTTGACCTCTTCCATCATGTCCGTCTTGAGTTCGGAGAAGGCTTCATGGAGGCCGTGGACGCGCTCCAAGACATCAGCCGGAGTTTCGACATGGACATGTGTGCTGGAGCCGCCTTCGCCGCCGAGAGGCTTGAAGATGGTGTAGAGCTGCTCGACCGAGGACAGCTGGTGGTTGAGAATGTTTGTCCAGGCGTCTCTCCATTGCTTTGCGGAGGCTTCAAGCTAAAAAGGGGTTGTTAGTCGACTAGGACGTAGGCGATAGTAGACAGTAAAGTAACAGCGCGTTGTTTGTCAACGGCAAGGACAAAGCCAATGCCAGGGAGGGCATGTCTCGCGACGACCCCACATGTCCAGAGCAGATCATGGCTTGAGGCGACAAGCCACAATGGAACGCACCTTTTCCAACATGACCTTGGAGTCTTCAAAGTCCTTGAGCATGGCCTCGACGTCGGCCTCATTGGGCGTGCGCGTCAAGAAGCGGCCCGTGATTCTCTGCATGCGCTGCATCTTGAAGGAGTAGGGGGCAAGCAATTGCAGGCGAAGGTATTAGGTAGAGAAGAAGACAATGCTAACGCTGCAAGTAGCAGACACTGGCGTTAAGCAATGGGCGATGGGCAATTCGCAGATTGGCTAGCGGTGGCTGTGCCCGTGAGGCGGCGGATTGGGTTGGGCATGGATGAAGGAGAGGGAGAGCACAGGCGGCGGCCCCGCGAGTGGATTGCGTTGCTTTGCATGCCCTCAGCTCGTCAGCCCAGTCAGCGCCAGGCACCGCAGACGTGGCATGACTGAAGTGGAGAAAGACACAGCTCCTGACGTATCGCCGGGTGTCTCGGCGGTGAATGTACTCTACGACTATTCCGTCTACTTGCGTACGCACACACACACCCGGCACAGTAAGCCGCGCCAAGGAACGCACGTGATGACGCGGAAGAGTCTCGTAGCACGCGTCGCGCCTCCTTCACTCTGCCCACCAGCCCCGCGCCCGCACCCATGCATCCCACAAATCCGCCCACCACCCGTCTCCCCAGACTGCCCGTGCCATGACGGCCCCTCTGCGCAATACCCAGCACGCCTCCGCCATTGCTGCCATCCAGGCCTCCCAAAGCACCGCGCCCGTCGCCGAGTTCCGCTGTCTCTTCACCCACGATGTCCGCCGCAAGCAGAAGCGCTGGCAGGATGGCTTCCTCAAGTTCCACACCTTCAACAACCGTGTCATGGTCTACGACCAGGCCCGCAACTTTCTCGGCGACACCTACTACAAGGACAGCGATGAGCTGCACGAGGGCGACGAGCTGAACCTGAACAATGGCGCTCTTGTCGAGGTTTCAGAGCCGGTGGGTGTCACGCACACGGATCTGGCCGCTGTCCTGGGCAGGAAGGCCAAGGACCTGCCACCCGCTCTGAATCCGCCTTCCCAGACAAAGCCCTACCAACGCCCATTGTCAGTGGCCCCACCAACCGCGCAGAAGGCTGCCTCGCAACTGCGCCACAAATCCCTCAATACGCTGCTCGGGACGCCAAAGGGGCCCATTGGCAAGGCACAGCCCATAAAGTCACCATACGACGCTCGCAAGGAAAAGGAAAAGGAAAATGAGTTGGCTGGGGAGCGGGCTGCAAAGAGACAGAAGACGACTCAGGCGCCCGCAAGCTGGCGAGCGTCTAGTCCCGCACAGGAAGAGAATGTCGAGCCAAAAGAAGCATCGCCTAGACCAACAAAGGATGTAGCTGCACGCAAAGCTCGACAGCCAGCGAAATTCATACCCCCTACGGCTACCGTCATTACAATAGAAGACGAACCCGAGCCCGAGCCTCACCCGGCCATGTTCTCCGATATCACACTACCGGGTACGCCACCTCGAGTTACCGATAAGATAGAAGAGTCCAGGGCTGCTAAAACAATTCTACCTCCTCAACCTCCTGTACAGACTCCAAGAATTCCAAAGAGCAAGATGCCGTTACCTGGTGTACGGGCTCTGGAGACACCCAGGCAGCCAGCTCCACCTTCCTCGCCTCCAGTGAGCGCCTCAAATCGCTTGTCTAACATCGAGTTTGCATTGCAACCAGTTCAAGTACCACGCAAAGAACCGTCCCCACCACCACCGCCCTCATCGCCTCCGGCTCGCAAGGCCCGATGCCTTCGACTGTCCACTGGAGTAAAGCGTGGGAAGTTGTTGTGCCAGGCTCTACCAGCAGAAAATACAAAGGCCGATAGTGGGTCTAGAGTAACTGGCACCAAGGTCAGGCGGGCAGCTTCCCGTACAGCGGATGAGCAGTCATTGCCTTTCATTGCACAGGGAGACGATGATTCCATCTCAGCCAAAAGACCGCCAAAGAACAAGCGAATTCTGACAAATGTGGATCACGGCGCGACAAAGAGAGCAAGAGTCTCCAAGTCTCCATCCCTACCGTCGCCCAGTCTCCAGGAAGATCCAGAAATCATCCATGATCTTATGGATCAGCAGTTGTTAGTTGCTTCATCACCTATACGCCCTGGTTCAGCATCTTCACGTGCCGTCGATAGTATCTCGGAATCTAAACATACTGCAGACAAAACGGCCAGCAACATGACCGTTCAAACAAACACTCTTGAGCCTGTAGCTACTAAATCGAAAATATCATCCACTAATGAGACAACTGGAAAAAGACCTACGAAAAAGGCACAGAAGCCCAAAGTGGCACCAAAGGTTCCGTCTCCTGTACCACCGGACCCAGTGATCCCGGCATCGAGAGACGTGTCTCCAGCACATACGGAAGTTTCCGACGCACAATCACGAACCTCAGCAACATCTTCTCGCAAAGTACCGCTCTCCAAGGGTGGCATACTCAAGAAGACTGCTCCTCGTACCAAAAAGCCATCAGCTTTGACAAGTCCCACGCAAAACGCTCTGCCGCTACCAGCTCATGGTGAACCCGTGTTGCTCTCACCGCGCCCCTCACGAACCAACAAAAAAGCGCCTTTGATGAGTACCACTGAGCTCGCTGGACTCCTTCAAAAGCCCAAGAACCTCGCCAAAGTACTCGCAGATCCTATTGAGGATGGGGGAGAAACGAACCAAGCAGGCAAGTCGCCGAACCGTACCTTCCGACGTGTTCGAAGTGAGAACGATGCACCAATTCCTAGTATCTCGGAAGAATGGGAAAGGCTCAATCTACCTAAGTCTAGCAGCCCCACTACAGATACTGCCAATGAGCCCACAGTGACGAGTACAGTTGCCGTAGAGAAGAAAAAGAAAAAGGATAGCGGGCTAGGCGCACTTATCAAGAAAACAGATCCCCGACGTAAGTTCAAGAGAACGCAGAGTTTGCAAGTAGATACAAAGGTGCCGCCGCCAGCTGCTGAGGAAGAAGTCGAGTTGCCGAGCCCTGTTGTGGATTTGGATGTTGGACCCTGGAGCACAGAAGCAGGCGATCTTTTCGACTGGAGACCGCCGGAGAGGCATTGAAGAGTTGATATGAGGGCACGTAATTACGAATGTATGACGTTGATATCCTTGGCCAAAAATCAACCTGTTTTTTGACACGGCAACGGTTGTTGCCAAAGCCATGTTTCCGCACAGAACAGATTTGACCACAGGTGATGCAACACTTCAAACCTATGTCTGCATGTGAGAGTCCAAGAACTCCAGCATGGAAAGTTTGCCTTGTAGCCGTGTATTCGTCTTCAATATTCCACCGTGCTGAGATAGAATTCCAAATGGCTTTCATACATTGCACGCCATCACAATGCTTCGTCTTTGTTTGATTTTTAACAAAGTTGTGGTAAACACAACACCAAATCCGGCCATTAGCGACACAAAGACTTGTGTGAATGCACTGAACAAAGACCCAAAGCGCCACTTGTATCTTCAACAACCACGACTTGAGTGCCGATTTGAATCATCTCATGCCATCTACTTTACCAAAACAAAATTTTCTACACGCTGCTATGGCTGTAAACATTGAAGCACAATATGCTGCACAGCAAATCGACTTTGCCACACTAGAGCAGATTTACATTCCTAGAACACTGGAAGTAGGCTGGATCCACTCTATCCAAAGTGAAGGAGGTCATGGCGAGGACTTTCGTCTGTTTGTGATCGGTCACAAGCTCAAGCATTGGCAGCGAACAGGAAGTAAGTTCAATTACACACTTAGCGAAGCACATCGCTCACACACATACTTAGCTATACCGTCGGAAAAGAAGGTCATTCACGCATGGGGAAATACTGATGCCATCAGCCGAGAGCCATTTATTGTGATTGCAGAAAGCGAACCAGATCCACGTTTACACCAAACAAATTTCGAAAACCATGCAGCTCTGCTCACATATGCCGACAAACACGTCCGTCAGGAGGAGCATAATGACTTTAGAGCTTTTGTATATGGATGCCGGGTCACAGATATTCGACTACGAGCCGGTACGTTCTAGCAATCATCCACTTTCCCTGTTCCAACGCGGGTACTGACCTCAAAAACAGAATCACAAGCCCAAACCCTCATCAATAGATGGAAGGATAGAACTCCTGCTGAGCACACCCATTACATAACCCGTGGAAGACAATTCTACGAGAGACACGTCGTACAGTTCCCACATCTCCGTCCCGCAGGCGCCGGCGACCATCTGTACGCCAGGGACCCAATCCCAAAAGCCACAATGTCAGACATCGCCTTCGTAAACCTACACGACCCACGACCAGCTAACGAGCCCAAAAAACCCGCCGGCTCGCGCTGGGTCTTCGAGCGAACGCTCATGCAAGTGCCAGAGGCGACATTCGGTGACTACCAGACCCAGCGCATTGTGCATCTGTTCGTGCTCGTGTCTGCAGATCATATCATCTTAAAGGTAAGTACAATACACACAAGTTGCATGTGAAGTAGAAAAACAAGGACTGACAACACACACCAGCGAATGGTTGTCAAGATAACCGGCTCACTGACAACCCGCGACGTCGAGAAAAATCTCAACCGCGAATACGACAAGGCGCATAAGAAGCTCTCTGACGTACCTTGCCCGCATATCCTCAAAGCGTACGGGTCAGCTATTCGTCGAAGAACCAGCTCACCGCAGCTTGGCTATATCTTCATGGAGTACGCTGAGCATGGTGATCTGGGGGATTATCTGGCGAAACATGCGGTTGTGAATCCGGGGTGAGTTTCCCCCTTTTTTTTTCTCTCTTTCTCCTCTCTTTACCATCAATTGTTTATTGGATTATGCTAAATCTTCCAACAGTAAACAACTCCCCGAACCCTTCTTATGGCTCGTATTTCGCGCAATGGCTGAAGCCGTGTTCGTCATGGCGCTGGGAAGACCAGTGCCTAAGCACCTACCGTTGGATAGTTACGGGGAGGGCTTGAATCTGAAGCCTGTTGAAGGATGGAAGCCCATCATAAGTAAGTATCCACCCATTTATCTCCAGTCGATTTCCCTCATATGCGAAGACGTAGCACTAATCTCTCATCCTCGCTACTGCTAGACCCAGATATCAAAACCTACAACATAGTCTTCGCAGCACCACAGCCAGACTACTACCCTGCCTATCCAACCCCCAAAATGATTGATTTCGGCCTCTGTTTCGACGACGACTACTTCTTTGAGAACCCACAGTACAAGGCGCTCGGCGTAGGTACTAACGGGTTTGGTCCACCGGTAAGTTCTCCACCCACACATGTAATAACCTCACAGCTAACGCAACCCAAGGAACACGACTACAAAAACTTCCCAGACTACCGCAACCAACCCATCGACATCGCCTCTGAAATCTTCAACGTCGGCCTCATCATGCTCAACATGATGGAACCCTGGGTCTCGCGCGGCATGACCAGCACCGAGCACTCCCAACTCGGCTTCGAGCACCATGAAAACTATTCCTACAGCTACTCCAGCCGCCTCGAAGAGTTGGTGTTCCGCTGCTTGGAATTTCCCCGGCGCAAGCGACCCGCGCTCACCGAGGTGCTGTACTTCACGCGTGTGGGGCTGAGGGAGTGGGAGAATGCATATGGGAGTGTTAGTAAGACTAAGGAGAATTTGCTGGGGTTTGCGAAAGTGGAGGTGGATGGGGTGGAGGAGGAGGTCGCGGTGGGGAAGGTGGCGCCGAGACGGTGGAAGGGGATGAGGGAGAGGAGGGAGAAGGTGGCGGGGCAGGGGTGTGTGTTGATGAGGAAGGCGGAGGAGGCGGGGGTTTTGGAGGGTGAGAGGGCGGCGAAGAGAGTGCGGTTTGTGTCGGGGGCTTGATGGACTCAATGTCAAGTGAGATGATGTGTTGGGTACTTGCTAATTGCTAATGTACTGTACCTTAGAGTTGTGATGACATGGCTAGTCGGTCATTTAGCTCTTTTACTTGCGATATCATACAGCAACGTTTGTTTTTTGACAGCAAAAGTCAGTTTAGAGTTTTTTTCTTGGTTGCGGAGCACTGGACGGGACGCCTTTTTTTTTGCTTGTTATTGAGCAATTGTCCGATACTACTCGGATCTAATAAGAAAGCGGACATATAACTAGATAAAATCGATAAATGTCTCCACAGACCCACCCCCAAGCGTGCGATAAGCGAGCGCCTTTTTAAGGACAGGGAACATCACGGTATATCCCGAATTGTGTAAAGGGAAAGTCTATAATATTCTTGAAATATGCACATGTTGGAAATGTGTATGTAAAGATTAATGTATTAGTAGCGATGGTAAGGGGGTGTGAGCTTTTATCAACGAACGACTATCTTTACTATCTAAGCCTTGGAGTTCTTAGCATCCGCAATGATGACATCCGAAGCCTTCTCCGAGATCATGTAAATGGAGATGACAGGGAAGGTACCAGGGATCTTGGGGAAAATAGAGGCATCAACGACACGGAGACTCTCGATACCGCGAACCTTGAAGTTGGAGTCGAGGACAGCCATCTCGTCACCATCGGAACCAATGGGGCATGTACAAGAGGCATGGTGGCCCCAGGCCTGGTACTTGGCGAACTCCTTCAACTCATCGTCGGTCTGAACGGATGGGCCGGGCCAGACTTCCTCGAACTTACCGTCGAGAGGGATGAGGCTCTTGAAGACGTTGCGACTGTACTTCATTCCCTCGACAACGGCTTGGAGGTCCTCGTCACCGCCAACAGCAAAGTTGCGCTTGCGGATCTCGGGAACGTCCTGAGGATCAGCGCTGCGCAGAGTGACGGTACCAGCATTGTTGCGAGACTCGGCCTTGAGAGTGAGCCAGGTCCAGTGGTCCTGACCCTTGGTGGCGTTCTTGAAGAAGTCGGGGTAATAGCCGTTGAAATAAGCAGGCCAGCCAGCAACGAGCATATCGGCGTTGCCATGGATGGAGCCACTGGACCTCAGGGTAATGGCCAAAGCAACACCGTTGGTAGCGTAGACACCCTTTCCGATACCCAGAGGAAGGTTTTCCCACTTCTCAAGGCACTTGTCGTAGCCCTGGAGGAAAGTGCAGCCGTTGAGGAGAGAGATCTTGGTTGGGGCCTGGCCGGTGACGGGGACTTCGTAGCGATCCTGGAGGTTGGTACCTACACCTGGAAGATCCTTGACGACCTCGATTCCAAACTTCTCGAGCTCTTCCCTGGGTCCAACACCAGAAAGCTTCAAGAGCTGGGGGGTGTTGAAAGCGCCAGCAGAGATGATGACCTCTCGGGTAGCAGTGACAGCGCCCTTGGTGCCCTTGCCAGTAGCACGTCCAGACTGACGTCTAGGATCTGCGCCGTAGAGGGACCTTCCAGTCAAAAAGTTGACACCAGTAGCCTTGGGCTTGCCATCGGCGGTTTGGTTGAACCTGATGCTGGTGACAAGAGTATTGAGCTGAATGTCGAGATGGTACTTGCGGCTGCCGTCGGAGTTCTTCGCCTCGAGGACCTGGCGGAGGAAGTCGACTGGTCCGGCACGCTTGTAGCTAGGAATTTTCATGGTCAGAGGAACCTGCCACAAGCCCTCTTGCGAATCGCGGTTGGGGCTGGGGTTGTTGGGGTCACGAAGCAGCACCTGAGTCAAGCCAGTAACGGTAGTCAAGAGCGACGAAAGAAGGGACTTTCCCAAGCCGGTAGCGGCGGCCAAGACAAGAGAGACGACCTTGAGATCTTGGGCAATCAACGTCAAGTCGGTCAGTGAGGTCTCGAGCCAGCCAGTGAATCCGTGGCCAACAATGCTGCTAGGCAGGTAGCGTGACCTCTCGAGACGGACAAAGTAATTACGCATCTTCTCTGGGTCCCAGGAATCATCGCCAGTGAGTTCTTGGATGTTCCTCCAATCACTTTTGTACGGATACATGGCAATAAGGGCATTGTGTGCTGTACAACCGCCCAGGGATCCGACACGGGGGTATAAAATGCCCAGTGGCTTCGCACCAGCAGGGGGGGTAGCGCCGGTGTAACGAGAACCATCAGGAAGTTCGTAGGTGAGCTTGGTGTCCCTCCTCATCTCTTCCTCGTCATCAAAGTGCTTGACAAAATAGTCCCACCTCATAGGCTCATACTCGGTTGCAACAGCATGCAATGCTGGGACATTGTACTCCGTCGAGTTCGTTTGGTCGTCTCCAGCGTCTAGCAAAAGGACCTTGTGGCCAGCAAGAGCCAGCCTAGCCGCGAGGGGTGAACCACCAGCACCAGAGCCAACAATGACATATTCATAGTCTTGTAGGGTAGTGGTGTCGGTAATGTTGGTAGCACGCTTTACGTTGGCGCCGCCATAAGGGGTGTGCTGGGCACCATCGCTGTTGTTGTAGTGAGCACATGTGACTAAGTCATGTGTGGGTATAAGGATAGGGAAGCATACATGATACGAGCACCCGCAAAGGAAGTGATTAATGAAAGGACGGTAAGAGCCTTGATGACAATCATGGTTATAGTACCTTATGTGCAAAATTAAGTAAAAAGAATGACTGGGGGAAAAAAGAAGGTTGATATGCACGCCACAGTGGCAAAGAAAGTGTGTAGGGAAGTGAGAAAAAGGCAAGTCGTCCTCACGATTTATCCTAGCATGCGGTTCACCTGACGCAGCCACTTCGTCCTGCCGGCAGAGAAAGTCGTCCGCACCGTGATTGGGATCACCGACTAACTATCCCCTTCTGCGCCCAAGATTTGCTAAAAAGACGGTCTCTAGCCAAACATGTCGACCTTCGCTTTTCCAAACCTAGTAAGAAGGGTCAATCTCGCAGTAGCGCAATCCAGAGGCATCCGTGGGATGCCCCACGCTTCGTGGTTGCAGCACTAGTGGCAGCCCTGTCTGCGGTGCCACGAGTCAGTCTGGCCAATTCATTCACACAAAGGGAAATGGTCGTTGATGCTAGGCTGCATTTCCTCTAGGCAGGAGAGTCGAGGGACCGCGCGTCAAACGTGCTAGAATTCGGGCCGCCCAAGACGTTGGACGAAACCTTGAGGGGGCCGTCCCGATGGCCATGACTCGACGCTCTTCTTCCCAGACCAGTGCCTCCACCGACGCGATAGGGTTTCTTTCCTCCCAAATGTCAAGAATCGGAGACGGGATACAATCTCGCGATGCTGCAACTTGTGGCAGTGCCAATCAGAGAAGCTTAAGGAAATCCTGCCGCTAGGGGTTGACTGGACATGTGCCGTTCACGCGCGTATGTAAGCAGCCGCCGCGCTAATTGGCTGGGAGGTGTGCCGCAGAGTGGGCCTCTCCTATGCTCATCATCACGCCCAGGTCCCAGCACAACCACAAAGGGCCCATCAACGAGTTCTCCACGACGGATTCCACATGGGTGATGGGGTATACCTACGCAAGCTTCATGCCTGCACCCACTGCACCCACCTTTCATGTCGGCTCATATCTACCGACGAGCTAACCGTCGGTACGGGTATTACTGGTAAAAAATGCTCCTAGCGGACGTTTTTCAGAGGGGACTAGCTTTCGGGGAAGAAATGCTCAAGGGCCCGTCGTATGCAGGAAGGCTTAGGATTGGCATTCTAAGTACCCCGGCGATGGGAAAAACTGCGCACAGGTGGTTGTGCAGCTTGTTTCGCAGTCTTGATGTTATTCTCGATGCGACGCTACTATCACTCCGACCCATTGCTTTGGGTTGTCTTCGTCACCCTGGCTGTGGACATTTTATGCGGATCCATGACATCGGAGAATTGTCTCTTGGCTGTCGAGCTCATGAACTGATCATGTACGGCACTTGCCGGGCCTTTTTCACGTCCAACAACTTCTCAGCAAGTCAACCGGACAAGGCTCACTGCAGATTTATATTCGTACATGTACCTACCTCCGGGACCCTGATCATCAGCGTGGCTTCCGACACTACGCCAATCATCTTTTTTTCTCTTTGCACCAATAATACTTTTTCTTGCTTTGCATTTTGGCAAGGCACACCTTCCACCTCGCCATGAAGTTTGGAAACATTCTGCTAGGGCTTGCAGCTTTCGCAGCTGGCGTCCAAGCACAAAACCCACTGGCGACTCTGGCAGAAAGTATGCCTAAGTGTGCGGTATGTTCATCCTGATGTCATATGATTAGTTCTCGCGTCTAACACACGAGTGTAGTTGGCTTGTTTTATCGAGGTCATCCCCACATCATCCTGCGCGACAGATCTCACTTCGGCGTGCTTATGCACAAATAAGGCTCTCAATGCTGCTGTTGGTCTATGTGCCGCGAAAACATGTACCAAATACGAACTTCTGCGTAAGATGACCCAGTCATTGACAATTGACGCGTTCGGACACTGACAGTAGTGATAGAAACAAAGAATGTCAGCAGCAAAGGCTGTGGCGTCCCTGAACGCTACAACGGCAAGAGATTCATCGTCGGTGGCCTTGTCGGATGTGGAATCGCTATAGTATCCTACATTCTCAGAATGGCGGCCAGTATCGGTAAAGGTGGTCGTCAGGTGTCATGGGACGATGCCACCATGGCCGTTGTGCTTGCGCTCGCAATTCCTCCTACCGTGTTTATCAAAAACTGTAAGAACTCGGTTTTTCTCTACAAGCCAAGCAAACTTGCTAACATTTTTCTCCAGTGGTAGATAACGGTCTTGGTCGAGATATCTGGACGTTGAAGGATTACCAAATCACCAATGTCCTCAGATACTACTTCTACGGAGAGATTTTTTACGTGACAGCTCTTGGTATTTCCAAGATCTCCATTCTCTTCTTCTACCTGCGCGTCTTTCCAGATAAAAAGTTCAAGATGATCGTCTACAGTGTCATGGGTCTGTCGGCTGCATATACCGTTGCTTTCTTCTTCGCTACTCTCTTCCAATGTACGCCTATCAGCATGGCCTGGACACAGTGGGATGGACTACACAAAGGTACATGCAACGACATCCATCTTCAGGGTTGGATTGCAGCTGCCATCAACATCCTGTTGGATGCAATCGTCATGGCTCTCCCAATGAAGCATTTGGCTGGACTGAACATGGGCCTTAAGAAAAAGCTCATGGTCATGAGCATGTTTGGCGTTGGTATCTTCGTCATTGTGGTCTCCGCTGTCCGCTTGTACTCGCTTATCCATTTCGCCAACACACAAAACATTACCTGGAACTACGTCGACGCTGGACTCTGGAGTTTGATTGAGATTGATGTGTCTATTGTCTGTGGATGCATGCCTGCCCATCGATTCCTGATTGGCAAGCTATGGCCAAAGATGAAGACAACCGTCAAGGCAAGCAAGAACTCGACAGACAAGAGCGGCGGTTCCCACGCAACTTCTTCCACTACCCCCAGCAAATTGGGCAGGGTCTCAATAAAGGGGATTACGAAAGATGACAATTTTATTCCGCTGTCTGATATTGACAGCAGCGATCGCGCACATCTCACCAAGGAAGCCCAACCACATTCCCGCAAAGAGTCCAACACTTGGATCACACAAACGCACGAGGTCGATGTTGATCATAACAGTACCTCGCATCCTAATGACCGCCCACAGGATTGGAACTGGCCAATGACCGGAAAGGAGCATGTTTGAGTTAGTTTTGTTGCAATACCATGGCGCATGTTCAGAAGCGGAAAAGGCTCCGGTTAGCCATGTATGGCGTTTGGGATCTTGGAATTCTTAGAATCACATGGGCGGCCATATCTGTTTTCTTTTTTTGTTAGAAAAAGCATCATATACCTATTCTACGTTACACTCATGGCTATTAGTTAATACATACACGAATTAAGCAATTCTATTCTATTCTACTAGACACACATACATGTCTTTTGCGTACCTCACTCACTCAGACGCGTCATCCACCCTTACCATGTAGCAATGTCCTCAACAGATACAAGAACAATGTCCAAGTCGCCGACCATGACTGTGGCATGACAAAGCGAGGGGTCGAGAATTGCCGTCTTACTCTCGCGCCTAACTCGGATGTGCGTGATAGCAAGGCGGCGCAGACACGGGTGATAGTGCGTCACCAAGCTACCGTGCCAGCCCAGGAAGCAAGACTGACTAAGAACCTTGTCTGTATACCACCACCCCCCCCCCATTTTACAAAAACTCCTACTTGCAGCTGGGGAATAGGAATGTAACCCGGTTCAGGGACATCCCCGGCTTCCAGGTACCAGCCTGTTAGTGGATCTTCGCCTGAGTTTCCAAGTCGGTGTGCGTCATCGTGAGATATCCCACAGCGCAGACCAAGGGGGTACAAAGGGATACACTCACCCCCCTTTGCCAGTTCCGCTTTTGTAACTTGCAAATCCCTATCGTGCGTATCAGTTCCAGATTTGAAATTGTGGATACGGGAGTTTTACTAGTCCTTTTTTTTTTCTCATGTCCACTGCGGTCGGTGCTTCCAGAAGGCGTTGGGTGCTCGTATTCTGCCCCAGATGTTGCTTGGCATATGGGTCAGTGCCTTGAGGCCTCCTCTCCTGGAATTACTCTTTTTGTGGTAGCAACAAGACTGATCTGTTTCAGTTTGTACCCGAGCGTAGGGACAGGCGGCTGACCGGGTCTAAACGCCGAATCGGGTTTGACAGCACGGGTTTGGTGGGGCTGACTAGCTGTCGTTAAACGGGCCGTTTAATTGATGCTTGCACTTTTTTGGTAGGCTACCACTGTCGATCTTTCTCTACACGTTTCTTGCAAGGAAATCAGAAAATTGGTTCCGTCTTACGAACATGCAATTCGAGCCGAAACCGTAGATATTGCTCTGTTTCACGGCGGCAGATGTTGATCTTTCTTGCTTTCAGAAAACACCCACAAGCTATATCCCAAAAGGAAACGGTCCGAGAACCCAAAGGTATCCTCTTCGTGCATAAGACTACTCAACGGTTTCCCCACAGTCTTGGGACTTGTGGAAATGAGGATTCGCCCCCATTCATTTCCTGCCCAGCCATGCGATGTACTGCTTTGGTCGCAAGGTCACACCGACACACCGAGCCCGCTGACAAGATACTGAGTAGGTACCTTGCGGATTTTATGTATCCGGATCCCGCCGCTCGCATAACGCCCCACAGATCTTTCCCCACCGGGCACCCTTGGGGACTGACGTTGAATCACTAATTGCCCATTGCCTACTGGCTAATAGCGACTGATTTTCAATCATTCATCTCAGATTAATTCTAAATTCCCAAACACCCGTTCAAGTGATTTTTTTTCTTTATCAACTTTTAGTCGCTCATTATGAAACTCTCAACTGCTCTTCTCACTCTTTCGCTGGGGCAAAGTGTCGTTAACGCTTTTCCTTCTCTTGACCACCGCCGCCTGCATGGCCTAACGCCGGAGAAGCTAAATGCAGCAATCCGGTCGGTAGAAGACTACCAAAAGGAGAAAAGGTTCATCATTGACATCACCAAACCCATTGATGTTTCTGGAAGACATGCATTTCAGCCTCCCAAGTCCACCGACCAGCGCGGACCTTGCCCTGGACTGAACGCCCTGGCAAACCATGGCTACATTTCTCGCACTGGTATCACTAGTTTCGCAGAAGTCGTTACCGCCATCAACCAAGGTCTGTTTCGCCAATCGCATATAACTCGGGGATGGAATAATTTTCTAACCTTTTGATATTATAGTCATGGGTATGGGTTTAGAACTCTCTCTCATTCTTGGTATCATGGGAACTGTTTGGACCGGCAACCCACTGTCGCTAAATCCTGGTTTCTCCATCGGAGGTCCACCCACTGGACTCGTGGGGCAAAACCTATTGGGCAACCTAATTGGACTTTTGGGTATGTCATCGTATCTTCAAACTACAATGTAAAACAACAATCACTCATGCTCTTGGCGTTACTAGGCAAGCCTCGAGGTCTTTCGGGTTCCCATAACTGGCTCGAGTCGGACTCGTCGCTCACACGCAATGATCTCTATGTCACGGGCGATGCCGCGACCATGAACATGACCTTGTTCATGGACTTCCACGACCGTGCTGACAAAAATGGTGTGCTCTCCATGGATCTACTCGCCAATCAAGCTGCTCGTCGCTGGGTGCAAAGCGTCCAAACCAACCCAAACTTCTACTATGGTCCTGTCAGTGGCATGGTCAGTCGCAACGCCGGTTACTTCTTCCTTGGCCGCCTCCTATCCAACCACACAGCCGAGCATCCCGATGGCATTTTGACCCAAGAGGTTTTTCGAAGCTTCTTTGGTGTTTTCAAGAAGGACAATGGAACTTTTGAATACCGCAAGGGACACGAGACCATTCCCAACAACTGGTACCGCAGGACAATCGAATATGGTTTGGTCCCACTTAACTTGGACATTGTCAGCTGGGTCTTGAAATACCCCGTTCTTGGCAGGTACGTGCACATGATATTCCGCTCTGCAAGTCTACTCATCAGTACCTAACACTTGGCTGCAGCATTGGCGGTAATACTGGCAAGGTGAATTCATTCACTGGCGTCGATCTCGGTGACATTTCCAGCGGCGTGGTCAACCTCACGACATTATTGGAGAACAACAACCTCCTCTGCTTCGTATTCGAGGTGCTCAAGACCTTTTTACCTAATTCGCTCTCTGGACTCCTCTCGACGCTCGATGTTCCGATTAGGCTAGTGACCGACACGCTTGCACAACCACTATTGAGTTTGTCCTGTCCCGCCTGGAAGGATCTGACTGAGGGCGGTGAGCCGCTTTGGGATGCTCTGCAAAAGCAGTTCCCGGGAGCAACTCAAGCTGGATCCAGCCTTTAGATCAGCATGACAAGGTGAAAAACCTAGATGGCCGAGTGCAAACTACCCCATGTCTAATTATTAATCTACGTTAATACTATTGTACAACCACACCAAAATTCATCCAATCCAGTTGAATCTCTTTCAATATTTCCCAGTCTCCACTCGTATGCAGCCCAAGTTGTCCCCGCCAGTATGTACGCCAAGTCACCCCAAAGCGCAGATCTTCCACCAAAAAAACCACGGCACATGATTGCCGCTCCCATCAAACTTTATTGAAAATACTAAGTACGTAGTACAACATTCAACCCCCCTTCTTACCACGTTCCCATCCCCCCCCAATCCCAGCCGACGACCACAAAGTACCCCCCTCATTATCTACTGCAAAACATAGAACCCACGGTGCAGATCCCCTGCTTTCACTTACTCTGCGGGGTCTTGTTCCCGCGCTCACGTCAGTCGAACCGTGTTGCCTAGCCACAGCTAGCTACATAAGCTCCCTATCGTGTTTGGGAGAAAAGCAAAAAGGATGAATCCCGGGTAATCCGGTTTGTGCCGAACCGCGTTTGTGGGGCGGCTTTTGACTTTTGTAGCGTGTAACAGTGATGAGGCTTTTGGCAAGGTACATGGGGAGGGCGTATGTTCGGTGTACGACTGTAAGTATATGGCGCAAGCGGTGCGTATACGGTGGAGGTGAGATGGAGAGAACGGGACAAGACGTGAAGAAGGCTTGATTGCATGAATGATGACTGTGTAGTTGAGTGTGGAGTATCAGCCGCTGACGTATTGCTGGAAATACGCGCATCGATCGGAGGCGAGCTTGTTTGGGAATCCGAGCTTGTTCTCTTCTCCGACTTTGCTTTGTTATGAGTGGAAGTGGTGGTGTGGAGGTTTGTTTACTGGCTCATCTACAAGCAGACTTTTGCAATGAGAAATTAGAATAACGATGCAAGTGTGTTGTGACGGTGCTTCCATTAACTAACAGATCTTTTGATGAAAGGAGATACACTTGATCATATGATTGAGCCTGTACCGTGCTGACAGTGCTTCAGGAGAGTCCATTGAGCTGCCTTGCACGAGACTTGAGTTCTCAGTGTTGCAGGACATAATTCTCTTAAGACAGCTCTTCATTTTGGCAGGAATGCTCTGTATTCTTGTGTTTACCTCTACAAGTTCTTATCATAGTTTGCTTGTGGGTGTCCATTGTGTTCTTTAAGACAGAAACTATATTGCACAGAAGTGCTTCTCACTTTTCTCTCACTCCTTCCTCAAGGAGAGGTGTAAGGATATGTATATACCTCCTCTGACTGCCCTATTTCTTCGTTCCCGGCAGTGGTGACAGATCTATCATATGAGCCGGTTCGGGTAATCTTGAAGTTTTGCAGTGTTGTCATAAGGCCCTTGAAATTGCTTGCTTTGCCTCCTGGATCTGCACAGCAGAGAATGGAGAAACACGCACTGTTTGTCATGTAATAGTATCTCATAATGCTATTCAGGTCCATGGGCTTAATTAAATTCAGTGATCTGCGGGTGGTTATGTCTACATTTATAAATATTTGATCTTACTTGTATCTTTATATCTCTCCATTGCCCCATTTATTGCATATAGAGGTTTCCGCCACAGAGTTTTTCAAGATTTATGTGTCCCTTCAGATACAACAGCTACTTAGACAGCGGGGTAGCTATAGCAAGACACTGCTGTTTCTAGGAAATGTCAACTCTATTGCTTGGATCATTTCGACTTGATTTGCGATTGATGCATTATCTTAATGTTAACTTGAAACAATAGCAGTTCATAATTTGGTATACCAGTATCTGGTGCATGATCTCTACAGATAGGCAAACTAGGCGGTGTCTTGCCACTGTCAATCCTGGGCTTGGACCGTCCACATGTTCCAAGGAATATTTTGGGATGGGACTTGAAGCCAACGACAACAACAATCTTCTTTTTGGTCTTGCTTGTATCTATACATTTAGTATCTCGTACACTATCTTATCCTGTCTTGCATCCCCCTCTCTCTAAAACAGAGGAGCTCACCTCATTTCGAATCCATTCTTCATACAATCTTAGCGATGAAAAATAAACACGAATCGCCCACTCCGTGAAATTCTGGGGCCCCATCTCAACATATACAACCAATTGTCTCCTTTGTAACAAGACCCTACACTCACTAATAAACCATTCTAACCACCAACTACTGTGGCTGCTAGCCAACCCAACTAATCCGCTCGCTCCAGCTACCCACCGCCATAACTACCGAACACTCCAGTCGCCGATTGCCATGCATCCAAGCTGCTCTAAATATTAAGCTAGAACAATCACTATCCCAACATAGAGCCTCATTAATCCAGCTCAGACCTAGAAACACGATCCCCATCATTACTAGCACATCTCTGAAAACTCGAAATCGGGTTAGGGTGTGGTACACTATTATTTTCTCAGATAATCAATCCTATACGCTATATAGTAAATAGAGATAAAAATAAACAAGTCAGTTATTTATACAGGAAACACTTACTTGAACTACTTTCACGATATTGCAGCTGATGGGGTGAAGAAAACGTAACCAAGTGATTTTTTTGAAAAAAATAAAATCCATAGAGCTATTAGTTTCTGCCGTGGAATTATTGCTTCTAGAATGCTAGTACCCGGAACCCGTATCCGTTTTACACACAATACACTTCGATATCCATCGTCCATCAGATGCCCACACCTACTTCACATAAATCCACCATTCAACATCCCTTTCAAATCCTCGCAGTACTTTTAGCTTATCTTCCACTACTGTCACTCTACACGGAGAAACGAGATAGACATGGTTTCTTTATTTTTGCTTTGATGGTAACAAACAGTCTACAACACTATGCTATCCAAAATTACTCAACACCGACAAATGAAGTCGGTCACATACCTGCGTGTAAAAATGGCTTACAACATAACCCACTCATCTATCCAACTATCGTACAAAAAACCAAAAAAAACGCCATAAAGATGCAAACAGTATTTACCCCAACATAAAAGTCCGAGTAAGTTGACACCTGATTAAACCCTACTCACTCCCATAACCCCCCTCAACCCCACACTTGACCTGTACAATCTCCGGCTTCCCCTCCCCATCCACCACAAGCGCCGTAAGCTTGCCGCCACTAACACACCCGGTATCGAGGCCAAACGAGTACTCATGGACATTAAGTCCCTTCTTCCTATTATGGCCATAAACCGCCGTGGTACGTTCTTTAGCCTTTAGTTTCTGCTGGCGATGGTTCCAGAATTTTTCCCAGGGGGTGCCATTGTGCTTGGAGGATGGAATTCTCGTTTTGAGGTCGATGCTGCGCATGTTCATGACGTGGAAGGGGTCTTGATGCTCGAGCGGGATGTCGGGGACGAGGCCCGCGTGCACGGTGACGAGGGAGCCGAGGGTGGGTACGGTGCCGACGCGGAGGATAACGGGACACTGGCGGAGGTAGTCGATGTCTTTTTTGGAGAATTGCTTTGCGAGTTTACGCAGCTTGGCGTTACCCTGGGAGGCGGTGGGTGCGCCGACAAAGTCGAGTTTTGACGAGTCGTCCGAGTCGGATGTGGGCATGACGAGGACGTGGCGGTCTTGGGCTTCGGCAATGGAGAGGAGCAGTTTGTCTTCCCAGTTTCCGCGTACGCATGAGGCGCCGTACTTGCGGGCGAGTTTGATGACGCCGGCAGAGTCTGGGCCCTTTGCGATCATGTCGCCCGTCATGACGATGTGGTCGCGCGACTGGTCAAAGGCGACCTTGTTGAGGAGATGCTCGAGCTCGGCGCGGCAGCCGTGGACATCGCCGATGAAGATGAGGCGCTTATTCTCCTTGGGCAAATGCTGCTCGTCCATGTCCGTAACCTGGATCATGCCCTTGAACTCGGGGCGCACCTGGCTGCCGTAGCTCATGGTTGGCGCGTGGTCCATCAGATGCAGTTCCTGGACAAATGCAGCGCGACGCGGGCCAAAGTATGTCCACCAACTGGCAATGGCCAGGAAAAAGACGAAAATATATGCGGCACAGTGGCGCTTGATTCTCCGGGGGATGCGATCGGTTGTGCGGAGGATGGCGGCCTGGACCTTCGGTGGGAGGAAGAAGTCGTCTTCGCGTTGGTAGAATCCGTCTTCCTCGTCTGATACATCGAGGTCTTCACGATAGTCTGGTATTTGCTCGATGAGGGGCCGTGGCCGGGTGGGCGGGTATGCATGTAGGTTGTGGTCGCGGTACGTCATAGGGCCGGTGGGTGTGCGACGTGTCGCTGTATACGTCTGGTAATGTTCTTTCTTGATACGTCGTTCACGGCGTTACGCGACACAGTGGATCACGACACTGTTATATGCAAGAGACGGCGCCTGCGCTGTGTTGCTTGTCTTGTAGTGCGTGTGTGTTGGTGGTGGAAGCAAAGCCAATGAATGGTTTGCACCTCGGATTCGCGGTTCTAAATTCTTCACCGCTTGTACCCCCGAGCCAATGTAGTGGTATGTAAGTGAGTGGCGACAGTGCTCGAGCGAACAAGAGAATAGTGGCCAGATGCGCCAGGGGCAGTGTGGCAGACTCCGTCATGTTGGACGCGGAAAGCCTCACAATAAGACCGCCCCTACTGTTTCGCGTCGTCGCAGCTTGCTGCGCCCAGTACTATTCTCCATTGGCAATCGGCCAATTCCTGGGCCACCCCTCCGAGGAAACAAACCCGTCCAATCCATACATATTTGGGACTTCGATACATAATCGAAATTCTCAGAGATGCTGAAAATTTATCGATTTTTTTTTCATATTTTTTCCCTCTCATATACAACTTAGCCCTATCAAACATTTCCCTCCCATCTTGACAACCACCATCCGTCCCATACCCCCTCTACTCCACCCGCAACACTGCGCCTAGAAAAGCCCTAGTTCTTACAGCACGCTTTACAAGAGCCCTGTAGGTTCAAAGTTAGCGTGCGAACCTCTACCCGCAATGCCGTCTCATCTCCCATGCCCGATCTCACATATGCCTTCTTCTTTTCCCTACGAAATACTACTTACATAGATCTGTTCAGACCTTCCAGGCCCACACTTGAAGGGCAGAGAGATGCTGGCGTGATAGCATGTCCCACATCCTTCCGGCGATGGTACGGGTATTTGTCTCGAGTCGAGTACAGCAGGCTGTGCTGGGTGCGCAGAGACGAGAGCAGCAAGTGCTGTGATTGTAACCAGGGCAAAGGTCTTCATCGTGTCTAAAGGAGTAGTTGTAGTATAGGAACGAAGCTCTAAAAGCAAGCGCTTTATTGGAATTGCCAGACCCGTTAGTTGATCTTTTGGTGTCTATCCAGACCTCTATTTCTTCGTCTTCACTATAGCGTGGCGCCTCAATACAGGGACAAGAGATTAATACACAAGACTTTTATAAACATGTTACAGTGTATAGGTCGTATTCATGTAATGCCCTAGTCTTGGACATCTACTTCCTTACCTAGTGCTGATACTTGGTTCCACAACCGTTGTTAGAGCCTTCCAACCCAATACTCATAGCTAACCAAAGATGTACACCAAATCTACATCTACATTGCTTTATTCTTTCTAGTGCAAAATCCTAGAAATGGACCGGCTATGGTTGTATTGGTAAAATCATTAGTGATGTTTCCAATGCAGTTTAGCGCCTACTTCCGCACCTTGACAATCACTATAACATCGGTCATTCTCATGCCAACAACAGCCTTGTCCATCACATACCCTTACCATCCCACTCCAATCAAGCCCCATTTCCTTCATAATGTTGCGCTCGAAAAAGTCCGAGTCACTTCGCATCGTCGTGCTTGGCCATTCGCAGGTGGGCAAGACATGTTTCGTCGACATGGTAAACCATCACCCTTTTCTTGTCCAACACCACAGCACGTGACCTATTGCCCGCGCAACCTTCTTCTCCCTCTCTCGATGATTGTTTTTTTTTGATTTGTCCATACCAGTTCCTCGAAGGCACACATTTCATCTCCCACTCCGCTATCTCGTCCATGCCCTTATCCCGGCGCATCTCGCACTCGGGTGCTTCCTTCACCCTCTCTTTTATAGACTTGGATCTCACAGGACCCATCGCATCCTCGTACCGCACGATAGTCGATGAATATCTCCGCCTCGCAGACGGTATAGTCCTGCTATACGACATTACTTGCAGCTTGTCTTTTGCCAGCGTAACCCATGAGTTCTATGTTCATGCTTGGACATGTCGAGACGATATTAGTACTAAAGAGGTAAATGGTCATGTGACTAAAAAGCGCTTTGGATGCGTGCTTGTTGGCAACAAGCGCGACGTAATCGTTGGTGAGGATGCATCGAAACGTCAAGTGGATAAAAACATGGCGGAACAATGGGCAAGTAGCCAGGGCTCGAAGCATTTCGAAATCACTGCGAGCGAGCGGGGTGAAGTAGAGGAGGTGGTCAAGGCGCTGGTGGACAGTATAGCAAGAGCGAGGCGTACGGATCAGAGGGACAAGGCAAATGGGGCCACAGAGGACAAAGGATCTGTCTTAAGGTTATTCAAGCGTTCTGCTTAGGATTAATGTATAGTTGGAAGGACTGCAATCCGTATCTGGAGCTTGGAACTGATGGTCACGAAGCATAAGATGCGCATTGCGCAAAAGCCTCCTCGAGTTGACGCACGCGCGTTTGAGAGCTGCGGTGCAGTGCTATAACTTAACGGAGAAAGACATTCTGCCAAGGATACAGCCGTGGATATGATACAGAAACTCAGCTGGAAAAAGATTGTGTGCCAGGAAATGATGCTGAATCTTTTTAGAGTTTCCTAAGTAACTAGTCACCGTTGTACGACCAGTCAGAATTATCCGAGTTAGCAATGGGAAATGAGCACCTTACCAGTAGCTGCCCATGTTCTGGTGTTTCGGATGTGCAGTATCACATGCATATATACAGGCGGGCTCTTCCGCTAGACACATGTCATATCGAAAGTTGAACCACGGTACCCCTGCGCGTACCAAAGGTTCATCTTACCCCAGATCCCTGGCTGTATATTGGACTATGCGAACTTCCATCGCTTCGCAAACTCTATTCCTTCCGCCAAAGTGCCCACTCTTGCATCGATGGCATACCCTTCTTTCTCGAGAGCAATGCACTCATCCCATAGGCTTTTCAGTGGAACCGAGAATGTTTCAATGAATTCGTTATCCTCGAGGCTTGGCTGCGGATTGCGATTCTCTGGAAGAGACAAATCGACAGTAACGTGGATCATTCTCAAGTTGGTATTGCAAAAACCCGGATCTGTGTGGGTGATCAGTTAGTGGAGACGCGGAACGGCACGAATAGCTCCCTTGTATAATCGTCCTCATGTTGAGTCTTAAGGTGGGAAATACAGCAAGGATGCCAGTGCATCGACTTGGGTGATCCGGCTATATACGACTTACCATTGAACATGATAGGGCTGATTCGAAACTAGCGAGGGGGGATAGAAGATCAGCATGTCTTCCCGTCAGTAGGCGAGAAACATGACTTACGGTTTGGTCTTCGATTAGTTCACCAACATAGCCCGTCTCTTCTTTGAGCTCGCGAAGCGCACACATTTCAGCACTCTCACCAGGATCCATGAGACCGGCTGGAACTTCGATGACAGTGGCATTGACTGGCGGACGCCATTGCTTTTGGAGGACGATGCGCGGTTCGTCGTTTGGCTTTGCAGGATCTTGAAGAATGGCTGCAACACCGACGCCGTCAATATCCATACCCTTGGGTCGCGTAAGGCGCTCGCCAGACTCCCAAGTGCGCTCGACGCCTTCGGGATCAGTGTAGGTAGTCCTATGGAAAAAATTCAATGCCAGTGCGCCAAGGACGACAATTCAGCTACGCACTTGATGAATGTAGCCCACTTTGCGTCCTTGTTTTCCAGCGGCTCAATCTTAACGATCTTCGGCTTCCTCGGTGCACTGTTGACTGAAGCCATGATGGGGGTTGCGGAGCTGAGTTAATGCGGGGGCGGATGTGGCGTGCGGTCGATGTCAGCCGCTAGTTGCAAGCCCTATGACGGCATACATCGCGAGTGCCTGCCAAGAGTCTCAGAACAAGTACAAGGGACGAGCGATGTCTTCAATTTACACGTGATAAGAGTGTCGCCTGGCAACACTCATCTGCTCACCAGCCATCATTAAACATGCTTTGATGTTGTATGTAGTTGATATAGTAATTTGGACTTGTACTTGACGAGCCGGTATGGGTGTGTGCTCCTGTTAACCACGGAGAGGGCACAGGCCTCGCATGTATACACGAATGCTTTCACGGCGTTGTTGAATGATTTGCAGTTGCTTGTCCTAAGGCGGGATCATGACGTTCAGATAAGAAAAGTGTAACCAGGAGCGGAAGAGACAAGCTGCTGACGACCCTGTCGATCTTCACGGGTTTGCTGACTGCCCATAGAGGAAAGCCACAGGGTGCAGGGTAACTTCCTGGTACAAACAACACGCTGCTTTTCCAACAACACCACTCCAATAAGCCAACTGTTGACCTGGTCCTGCAAAAGAAGTTTTTTTCCGAACAAGAGTCATGTTAGGTTTATGGTAGCGAATTTCCTAGTAATGCCGCCGAAAGAGAGTTGCTACTAGATCTTCACTAGGAAATGCGCTAAACTCTCGTCTATTGATAGTTTGCCGGAGACAATAATAGCGAAAGGCGGCGTGCGGCGTAGGTTCAGTAGAGAAGGCCGTGGAGTCCATGGCATTACAACCTGTAATCTCGCTGCATCGCATTGGCCACGTTGTGGCGTCATGGAAAGAAATCACAGTGTGAGGCTTCGGGCCACGCTACCCGGCGACCGCTGTTGCTGGTGCGAACAAGTACGAGGTTATAGGGGAACACGACCGCAGAAGCGCCAGTACCCGAGCTTGGCCAAGGGAACGGGCTTGTCTGTACGAGAGCACTTATGTAAACAAGCGATGGTATCCCCTGTCACAGCGGTCACGGTGCCATCCGAGTAAGTAGACATGGAATGTAACAGCGGATAAACCCAAGGTAGCAGATGACGCCTGTTGGCATACACTAGCACGTTAGCCGTGCCATCAAGGAACTTGTCATGATGATGCTGTTGAGGCGCTGGCGGCGGCATGGGGAACTGCGGCCCTCGCCCGGAATGGCTGCGCAGTGGGTCGTCGTTTTGCCGTCGCCGTCGAAAGCGGCACAGTCTGCACGACTGAGGACGCAGAGTCAGAAGCGAGTTATAGGTGTTTCGTTTGGGCGGCGCTGAGCCAGTTGCATCGTAGTGCGACACGCCTCTAGCGATTTGGGCTTGTAACAGGGTAGTGGCTTTGCGCCCTTTGCATCATGTGCATCCACAAACCATAGCGTGGGATGGGGGAAGGGTCAACGGTTAAAGGCACCTTGCACTCTGTAGACATGGTATGTAATAATGTACACCTAGTAAGTAGGAGTAGGCCACAGGGCAGAAGTCGGGAGTCTCACTATGGCTACCGAGCGAGCCGGGAGGTTGCGGTCAGTTGTGGGGGCGACTTGGGGAGACGTGCGAAGAGCTGTGGCGAGAGCGCAATAGGGTGAAAGCAACGAGAGAGAGAGAGAGAAAGGCTTGAGAAAAGCATGTGATGGCTGGCGAGTATGGACATGGGCATTGGCTTTCGCATGGGTGTTGGTGTGCTAGGACTGCAAAAAGAAAAGACGCAGGGGCCACTGGCGCCCGTGCCTTAGCCACTTTCGGGTGGCTTCTCCTGCCAAGCACTAAATATAAGCGGGGCGGGCTCGGCGGCCTGACCGTCCGCTATTTTGGTGCCTGTCGGCATTTTTACTCGACACACGACCGCCCAGTATATGCCAATTATCACGCCTTTATCGCTTTGCCTCTATTCCCCCCTTCCAAGGCCCGGGCCAAATGTCCATGTTGGGCTGCTCGGCCAGCGGATGCCATCTGTTGGGCCCGCCGCCGTTTGTTGCGCCATTCCCGGCGCTTCAGTACCATAGGGCTCTGGGTGAAGCAAAGCAAAGCAAGCAGTCGCCCAGACAGCGAGTGCAGTGCAGGTGGAACTTGGGCGGGCTGGACCACCAATAGGTGGGATTTTACGAGCGCCCAGATTGCCATCGATCAAGAGCGCTGCTGGATCCTTGGGAGCACTGACTTCGGGGCAAGGCTGCCTTTGCATGGGTAACGGCTACTTCACAGCCAATATCCTTAGCGCATATGCGTGAAACTTCTTTTCCTGGCAGTGCCTTGCCGGTGATTGGCGACCGATGGTCTCTTTTGCGGGCAGGCATTAACACCCGAGTTCCTTACTCCGCTTTTAGATCCCAAAGCATGTGTGCCCACGCCGGATGTAGGTACGCATGGCGCCAAATCGCCCAGGAAGACAGCGATCCCTTCTGGACCTACTACCCTCATTTATCCCCCCTTCCCTCCTCGCTCCTTCGTCTAGCTTTTGGTTTTTCAGGAGTTTGCTTCCCCGATCCGATCATTACTGGTGTGCTTCCATCACACGTCCTTTCGCTTCTCATAACTACTATATTGTCTATACTGCGTATTTCCCGACTGCACATGTTCTGCATCTTCACCCACCACTCGTTTGACAGCAAGACAAAACAACCCTACAACTAATCAGGAAAGAACGCACATCCTGTCCTAATTCGGATCGTCACCACACCTCGAGCACCGGGTCACTGGAACACACTACCTTGAAGATTGCCATCCGTACACCACCAACCCCAGAAGACTACCTTCCCTACGATACCCCAATTTAGACACCACTGTCCGCTACCCTAACCACAATGGCGAACTGGTTTGGAAACCTTGACTTGGCATACAAATATGTGTAAGTTGCCGTACACACTGGCTAACGAAACAAGACTGATCCGTGTCAGTGTCGTATTTATGAGTTTGCTCCTTATTACCATCATTGCTGGATTCATCAAGGTGCTATACAACCGACAGAGGTACGTTGAACGAACAAAGTAACACTCTGCAGTAGCTTACAATGGAAACAGGTTAAAGAAGGCGACCAAGGCCGAGCTTGAAGCTGGACCCAAGGAGGACACCGTCGAGCTAAACCAACGTGAGAAGGATGAGGGAGATTTGTTTGGTATTCGGGCCATCGAGGCAGGTTTTTACGCTGGTGTTGCTCAGTCGCGCCCTACATCAAGGGCAGGATCCATCGTTAGCAATCACCCCGGAGCTATGAGCAACAGCACGCTGGTTGGAGGCAGCGCCAGCTCGCCGCTCATGAAGGGCCAGTCCACCAACAACAGCACGCTCAGTCTGAACCTCAGTGCCGCCAACGATGCCACTCACCGTCCTCCACCTTCAACCTTGAAGCTCCGTCCCTCGGAGGCTGAACTCAGCGGAAGGCACAACCACATGGTCGACATGTCGCTTCAAGTTCCTCCATCGCCAGGTGCTCCTCCTCGCGATCCCCCAGCTACGACATTTGGTTCTTACGAGCACGACAACAACAACTTCCGACTTTCCGACACCATGGCATATGACTCGTCTTCGGGCCAATCACCTTACAACCCTCCTACCACTCAGCTGCCTACGCTCCCGGGCCATGCGCTGCGGAAAGAATCCCGATCGCCATCGCCTGAGAATGGATACCCTCGCGTGCAGGTTCACGAGCCGAGTAGGTAGCCAGCTCCCTGGTGCGTTGAATTTTTTGTATTTTTAGCAATTTGGTAGTTACATACTATACTGGGCCCACCCTAACTTTTGACCAAAGACTCTGAGCCTGCACAATATTCGTCGTATGCTGTCCCCGCCAGACTCCAACCGCGCGCATACTCTCCGTACTGTGAAGGAGGAAGCGATGCAAGCAGCATGTACAGCAGCAACAGCCACACGGGGCTGAGCGCATTTGGGGTAGTGTACCACACATCGGAGCATAGTGGTATGCAAAGACAAGAGGCGGAAAGATTGGCGAAGGAACGGCCATTATCCGAGTCTTCGACGGCAATGTCTGGGCATACGTCGATCCTGGGGTCTATTATCAGCGAGGGCGAATCACAAGGTCGACAGTCGAATCTTGTTGCGCCTGGGCAGTCAGGGGCGACGGACTCGCGGCTAAGCGAATTCTACGAGGCGTACTACCGCAACTCGCACTTTGGGCCGGCGCAGTCTGTTGAGACGATGCAACACAGTCTGGACAGACGATCCGTCATTATCGAAGTCGACACGCCCTTGGCGTCGCCTATGGTTTCTAGGCAACCCGGGACTGCGTATTGAGACTGGACATGCACGCCAGCGTCAATAGCAAGACATGGCTGGAGCTGTGACCACAAGACAACATGGGCCTCGGATGGACCTAGGATGCTTTTCTTTTCTTCTTCTTCAACTGGGACGGTTGAACTCTGGATATTCATGCGGTTGGGAAAATCGGAATTTGGGATTTGGACAGGCGACAAAAAAAAGATACGGTGACGAGTGTTATGTCTACCTTCTAGGCAAAAGGGTTTTGTCCACCACGACACGACATGGGGGGTTTCGTTTAATATTCTCTTCGGATTGTGTATTATATATTTATTGTTGGCTGATTTGTACAAGCCATGGTTGGTTTTTGTTGGTAATAGGTATTAGTATGGATAAATAATCGGATTACCTGCTGCACAGGATTTACTGCAGCAGCCTTGTAACATGAGAATTCTGCCATGGATACATATGCATGAGTGTTGTGCAGCAGTGGTTGATAAGGCTGCCAGCCTTGTTTCCTTAGTCACTCACCGTCTGACTGCTAAAAAGACGATGATGGTGTGAGGCCAAGTCAGTTTTGCGGGTGAGGCCATGTTCACGCCACGCTGGCCAATGAGCATGCAGGGACGGTAACCCCTGGCAGAAACATGGAGGCGGTGAGGGCGATCCCTGTCGTCGACATCGACGCTTAAGATCGTGGGTTCGCCACGCCTGGGAATTAAGACAAGAGGGACGAGTAAAAGCTGCCGGACCCTAACAGCTTTTGAGCCTCG